AGGATGGGGGTTGAGTAGTATATTGTGTTTCAGGTTCGGGGATTGGCAGACATGGAACCATCATCCTCCCGACCATCTTCCCCAGCTGGGGATCGGGGAGGTCATTGCCCCTCGTCCTCCCCCTCCCCCAGTACTGGTCCCCCCACCAAATGTGCCACCCCCATCAGTGAGCCCCACTCCCCAAACCCTCCCCCACTGGTGAACCCATCATTGTCCACTTTAGGAAGTTCCAGTCATCCTGTACTTCCCCCTCACCTCGGACCATCTGATCATCCTCCGCCAAGGCATCCTTCAGTGGCAGCAGCAGCTGCAGCAGCAGCGGCAGCAGCAGCAGCTGCTGTTAGACCCCCACCAGGCCCCCAACATCCCTCCATGCCCCCAGAATACCATCATTATCCATTGTTACCCCACCGCCCATACGATCTCTCAGCACCAGGGTCCTCTCTCTTGGCTGTCAATGAGTCGGACATTAACAGAGACGAAATCACAAAATGCCCGACCAGTGCTCTGTCAAGATCACCTTACTCATCACAGCTGGTAAGAATCTTGTAGTGCTATTATTGACTTACAGGTATTTGTTTCTTTTATTAACTGAATTAAATACAGTACAGTACTACATTTTAATATTGATGTGCCTGCGAACTTTTTTGTAGATTATAGATCAAGAATCTTTGATTAGATATCAAATTAAGTTTAACACAGTAGCTCTGATGTTGTGTCTGTATAATTTGGTTTTAGCAATAAATGAATAAACAATCGGGTATGCTTGGTGACACTAATATCACAAGGGGTAAAGTAACCCACTAGCTTCTGAATCCTAAGAATCAGAAGATCAATAAACCCGCATTAATTAGGACTAATTGGGGGAAGGGATCTGGATTTTGAGAATTTCTAGATTTTTTGCCAAATGTTTCCCAGGGGACAAAATGGAACAATTTATAGCAATTTTAAATGTACAGTATGTGTATAGCTATTTTACAAACATCTACAATACAATATCCTATTGCAGCTACATTCTATGAAGTACAAATATATTAACGATACATAATTTCGGTATTCAGAAATGATAAAATACTTAAAACTATATGAGCTAAACGGTTTTCCACTACCCAGGGCAGAGGTATAGGAAGCAAAGAGTAGCTCATGTCTTGGGACGGGTTAGGTGGTATGTCCAAATCTGAATCACAGATACTCTATAACAGTAGTTTTCAGTTTATCAGCAATGCTCTTATACATAAGTCACTCATTTGACCTTGCACCAGTACCACTTGCACTCACCATGGTGATGAAAATGGAGGATTATGATTCAAAAAAGAACACAGACATACTGTAGTACCACAGTAAACAATCTGTAAAGAGTTGTGCGTGTGTGTGTGGAAAGTAAGTCCTCGCTGTTCAACTAATTTTAGTGAACCTGATAGGAATGCTCCTTTTGGGAAAAAAAAATTAAATGTTATTGCATTTAAGGAGCATTTGACCTCATACGGTATAATATTTCTTGAGTGACAAGAACATTGAAAATCTCATATTCTGTATAGTACAGTAGTTTGATGGTAACACTAAGATATACTGTACATTGGATAACTAAGTTTGTTCATGACATGGGCTCTGTGCCTGTATATCCAGATCTACATTTGATTCTTTAACAATAAATGGTGGTATAGCAAGCAACTTGGAACTGTGTGTTTACTAGTTTTGTTTATCATAACATGGTGTAAGAATTATGAAAATTTAAGTATACAGTACTGTACAGGGTTGTAGTCAACAATTTATTCAGCATTACTCAACTGTACAGTACTTATAAAAACAAAGAAGGCACCCAGATGTCTGATCACCTGTGATGATATTCATATTAGATGGATTTGTGGCCATATGTAATTACATTAGTCAATTGTAGTATTTCTAATGGAAATTAGTTAAGGGTTTATTCACAATAAGATGACAAAGGCAGACACCTTTCGGAAATTTTCCATGCTGCCCCGCCATGTCTACACTGTGGCTACAACCCTGATAATGACCTTTATTACCATTATTAAAGTTAATACACGAGCAGTAATATTGTTTACTGAAGTCACTAAAACTCAACAAAAAATATAGTTTTTTCATTCTTAGGGGAAAGTTTGTTGTATAACATAATATATGAGAGGTGTCAGATGTACAGTACTGAATAAGTTACTCCATTAGATATTAGAAATAATTGCTTCAGTTTTATTCCTAATAATTAAAATAATCAGAGCTTCTTCCTCAATGTCTGAAGTTAATCAACTGGGAGTGATATCTTAGCAAATTTAGAAATACTGTACAGGGTACTGTATATGTTTAAAGTTTTAAACTAAGGTAATACAGGAATAAATACTGTACAGTTTTTACTTTATCTTATCATATTTGGGTTTTATCACCATTGTTCATTATACAAAGTGTTTATGACATGAATTATTATGAATGTAACTTTACGGTAATCTTTATTGGTTTTTATAATTCACAATATTTGCTCTACTTTCAAGGGAATAAGCCAGTGTTATGTACAGTATATTCTCATAATACAGGTTATTATCTTTACCATATACGGTACTCATTTTCTGTAGTCTTGATTACATTACATATACAGTATACTGTAAGCTTCTTTCATCAGTTTAAATAACATCAGATGAAATGTTTAATTTCAGCGTGTAAAACAAGACTTAGGTGGAAACAGCTGGGACTCGCCGGTGGAGGGTGTCGTATCACCACTGTCACTGAGTGATCGTCCTCAACATCCTTACATTCCTCCGGCCATCTTTAGTAGTTTCCTGCAACATAGGCAACACACACCAACTAGCTCTCAACCATATGGGGTATATATTTAAAACAAACTTAATAGTCTCTCTCTCTCTCTCTCTCTCTCTCTCTCTCTCTCTCTCTCTCTCTCTCTCTCTCTCTCTCTCTCTCTCTCTCTCTCTCTCTCTCTCTCTCTCTCTCTCTCTCTCTCTCTCTCTCTCTCTCTCTCTCTCTCTCTCTCTCTCTCTCTCTCTCTCTCTCTCTCTCTCTCTCTCTCTCTCTCTCTCTCTCTCTCTCTCTCTCTCTCTCTCTCTCTCTCTCTCTCTCTCTCTCTCTCTCTCTCTCTCTCTCTCTCTCTCTCTCTCTCTCTCTCTCTCTCTCTCTCTCTCTCTCTCTCTCTCTCTCTCTCTCTCTCTCTCTCTCTCTCTCTCTCTCTCTCTCTCTCTCTCTCTCTCTCTCTCTCTCTCTCTCTCTCTCTCTCTCTCTCTCTCTCTCTCTCTCTCTCTCTCTCTCTCTCTCTCTCTCTCTCTCTCTCTCTCTCTCTCTCTCTCTCTCTCTCTCTCTCTCTCTCTCTCTCTCTCTCTCTCTCTCTCTCTCTCTCTCTCTCTCTCTCTCTCTCTCTCTCTCTCTCTCTCTCTCTCTCTCTCTCTCTCTCTCTCTCTCTCTCTCTCTCTCTCTCTCTCTCTCTCCTCTCTCTCTCTCTCTCTCTCTCTCTCTCTCTCTCTCTCTCTCTCTCTCTCTCTCTCTCTCTCTCTCTCTCTCTCTCTCTCTCTCTCTCTCTTCTCTCTCTCTCTCTCTCTCTCTCTCCCTCTCTCTCTCTCTCTCTCTCTCTCTCTCTCTCTCTCTCTCTCTCTCTCTCTCTCTCTCTCTCTCTCTCTCTCTCTCTCTCTCTCTCTCTCTCTCTCTCTCTCTCTCTCTCTCTCTCTCTCTCTCTCTCTCTCTCTCTCTCTCTCTCTCTCTCTCTCTCTCTCTCTCTCTCTCTCTCTCTCTCTCTCTCTCTCTCTCTCTCTCTCTCTCTCTCTCTCTCTCTCTCTCTCTCTCTCTCTCTCTCTCTCTCTCTCTCTCTCTCTCTCTCTCTCTCTCTCTCTCTCTCTCTCTCTCTCTCTCTCTCTCTCTCTCTCTCTCTCTCTCTCTCTCTCTCTCTCTCTCTCTCTCTCTCTCTCTCTCTCTCTCTCTCTCTCTCTCTCTCTCTCTCTCTCTCTCTCTCTCTCTCTCTCTCTCTCTCTCTCTCTCTCTCTCTCTCTCTCTCTCTCTCTCTCTCTCTCTCTCTCTCTCTCTCTCTCTCTCTCTCTCTCTCTCTCTCTCTCTCTCTCTCTCTCTTTTTTGTTGATTAAGACCATAATTATTAATCATATTGGTATATTGTACTTATAATATCATGCTTTACTTTAGTTCCTGTTTAAGAAAATAAGTAATTACCATAATATATTATGTTTAAGATTATTGCACCTAAATGACACCAGTTAGAAGTTAAAATTAAGGTGTCAGCCATAGATAGTCACCTTAATTTTTATACAGTGTCACGTTTTCTGGTCTGTGAATTGCAAGGTTAGCATACTATTTAATATTACCCATTACTGTACAGTACTGTCATATAGAGAGGGTTTACTCTACCAGAAATAATGGTTTAAGGTTCAGTTAGGGAGTTAAGGGTTAAATAATGTTTAATAACTAGTAGTATTCATTAACTATTTTGAGCATAATATGTGGAGAAACTGTGGCTATAATATGGTGTCTTATTTATAACAAAAAACATTCTTTGACTTTTTTAAAGACAGTGTAAGAAAGTTTGTTAGTAAAGAGGAGACTTTTGCTGCTTCTTTGAGGAAAACAATATAATGTGAGGGAAAGTTCTCTAGTGTCCAACATGTGAGCAACCACAAGAATTTTTATGTCAATTCTGGAGTATCCATCCCTGTTGTCCACCCCAACCTTGGGGTGGAAAGTTCAAAGAAGAACATAAATTCAGCCCTTTTAAACCATCATATGTTATTATTACTTGAGCCATCCTCTCATTATTGGACAACTTTAATCAGGCAGGAATTTAGTTCATTTAAAATTTTTAGAATAGTAGGTACTAATGCATTTTATGTCTTACAATATAATCATTTATATAACATGATAATTTTTCACCACTGATTTCAAAATATGAAATTTGTGCTTTTATTGATAGAAAGAAGTTATCACGAACATTTTCCCATTGGCCCTGCAGAGGATGTTTCCCCTCATGACTTTCTCGTCATTTGGACCCGGCTGAGTACACCTGGTAGTGAGACACGTATCCACAAATGTCAGTATTGTTCTGCAAAGTTTAAGAGGAAGGATCATCTTAAGACTCATGTCAGGATCCATACTGGAGAAAGACCATACAAATGCAAAATCTGTGGCCGGGGGTTTATCCAGAGCCAACAGGTGAGCTTGTTCACTTGTAGGTTTTTTCTAGTCAGATGGAAATTTCTTTTCTCTAGATAGATTTTTTTGCTGCAAACACAATGTGGCCTTTAGATTCATTCTTTAGCTATTGGTTATTCTCATGTTGTAAAGTATCATCTGGCCTTTTATTCTTTATTTAATCAATCTAAATTATTTTCTTTGCCAAGAACTTCTGTGTAATGTTTGCCTGTTTTCCCTTTGTAATTAGTGCCTTGTTGATATTATATCAATTTATTAATTTATTTGTCAATTTTTTACAGTAATTATAGATACCTGTACATAATGTATTATGAAATAAAGCATCTATTACATAAGTGTCACTAAGAAAAATATAATTTATACTGTCATGATATTTTGATGTATTTTTTGTTCAGATTAATCATTTATTCTCAATATTTCAGGTAAAAATCCACATGAAAGTCCATGTGCGGGAAGATGCCTCAGGTGTAGGTGCCCCATCATCTTTGGGGGGTGGTGGAGGTGGAGGCAGTAGCCTTCCATCACTCTATCCAGATCTAGGGGGGCACTATAGTGACCAACCGGGGCTAGGTGCCCCCCATAATGATCCCCACACAGACTTGGATCAGTCTACAGATAATAATCCCCCTGACAATGACTCTGACAATGAGTGCAGCTCAGAGATTGCTGATGTGGATTATGAGGCGCGGCTACAACAACAAGAGAGTGGCAGTGGGGGTCCAGGTCGCACTCCTCCGACATCCAACCCCTCGTCTGTGGGAGTACGTGAGCACAAGACCCCGTCCCCACAGTCCCCCTCTGGGGCTATGTCAAGGAGCCACCCCACCCCCCCAGACGACCAGAGCTGCAGTGCCATGTCTCTGAAGGAATCATTTCATATAGGTAGCAATATAAAAAAATGATGGCTAATGTGCTGTGATGATAGAGGCTTTAATTAAGTAACTGTTGGTTATACTAATTGTTTTGTTGCCAATATGCATTTCCAAACCATCAGAAAATCTCTGGCTTCAATGTTAATTCCTTCAAAAGCATATCGATGGCAGGAATGATACAATAGCAACGGCTCAACTGGACAGACAGCTTACCATTTCAACCCCACGTTCAATATGAATTTACTGCAATAATACAATAGATGGAGTGTTTGCCTAACAGACTTCATATATCCCCTAGCCATTGTTATGTCAATGATCAAGTGAGAAGTACCAGTGTGTGATAAAACACGCACGACGGTCTGTGATCTGTTTGTAGGAGGATTTTTTTTCTACTTAAACTAGGTACTCAACCTGGACTCGTGCGTGCAATATGTAATTACACTGGAACTCTGGGAAGTATGGAGACTTTAGAGGGTAAACTCAGCCCATCGGGTTGTTTACACCACTTTGTTTCATTTTTTCTTATCCCATATTTACACAATTTTTTTTTATGCTGATGAATTGCTCCCAATTTCTTATAAGCCATAATTTATGTGTTGGACATGCTCATAGAGTCAGCAAGTGCTTCTCACAGATAGTTTTATATTGAGAAGACCAAACTCCCCTAGAGTAGATAACATACTGCAAGATTATTTTATTAATCCAGATGTCTTTAAGCTAGAAATAAGTTTTAGTTTCTGTTAGACCGTAGTAAAGATTTCTGTTTTGCTTTCACATTGTGTGTTGTGGTGTTCATTGGCATTTACGGTTCATAATTTAGACATTGTCAACTGTATTAAGCTGTTATTGATACTGTATAATGACTTTTATTATTGTTAATGCAGAATATGAGTTTGTATGACAGTGCAAACAAATCTTAGTACAATTGATCTTTGTCACATATCAAAGTTGACACAGCTCCTGGCCATGCTTTCTTCCTCACAGCTTTGCAGTGGATAAACATCCAGTTTTACTAGTATACAGTACTTTTTTAGCCGATGTTATTTCATTGCCCTTCCACACACACAATTACCTGTTATTTTACAAAGGGAGTTTGGTTTATCAGTGAGATCTCATAGTAGGGAGTAGAAAAGACTTGAACCCAGTGCCACCTTTTGTTGGTTCTTAAAAGTGATGATATAGTAATAGTTAATTTTAATAATTATTTGCCAAGTTAGGAGGATAAAAACTTCACCAAAGAAGGTGTATTTTAATGTTTGAACTTTCTTAAAGTAAGGTAGGTTCATCTGTTGTTTTCATTCCCTTCTCCGCTACAAAGCAAAGTGAGGGGTGAGGCTTTGTTTTTTTTCTATTCTAAACTGAGTGATGCTTGATGGAGGGGGGCTTGTTGCTTGTCTTTTTGATATAAGGGACAGGGTGGGTATGAATTCTTATCCTACATATTATGTGGTTTGCCTTTTGTATACAGTATGGGATATAGTGTCTGTTACTGCCATAGAGCAAAGCTGAATATAATCATGAAAAGTTTCAGACCAAATTACATATCAGTGTGTATGGATACAAGTTACATATCATGTCTCATATCCAAATTTACAATTTAAACATATCATACAATACTGTATCATTCTTTATGGTTATCAGTAGTTGCCATATAATTGTTGACAAATGATGCTTTTGGTATGTACAGATGAAACTTTAAGCTGGCCTTTTTAATAGTGATCCATTTAATTAGATTAAGAAAATTTTCTTTTATTATATTATAGGAAGATAGTTCAAATCTTTTGTCACAAACCTGTGTTTATATCTTTTGCAATACATAGTAGGACTTTCACACCAGACGAATTATCAAATACAAACTTGCTTTAGTTAATTCTAATGAACATAGAGAAAGTCCCACAAAAGTACCTAAAATTTGTGCTGTGTTAACGTATATCGCTTTCATTTCTTCATGCGATAATGATCACATCAGCAGCTGTGAACACTGAACATGCATTATAAGATATTTTACTCTTTACAACTTGTGAGTAATGTCTTGGTAATGCAGTACCCAGTGTTCAGTGTGTGTGTGTGTGTGTGTCATTATGTAATGGCATTATAAGAAGTGGTGGATGGATCCAGAGTGTGTAGAGCCTCACCCCTTGAGCTGTGCCTGCCAACCGTCCCGGCTCACTGGACGCTGCCTCCTACATTATGTACCTATTGGTCACATTCCTGCCCAAGGCTGTGTATCTTTGATATGCTGATTGTCACTGCCCTTTTTTTTGTCACTTATTCATTCCCTCTTACTCATAGACTTTCACTTTCATTATCTTATCACTTTGACTTTCTTTCCCACAGTCGTCTTACACCACCTTTCCTCCTTTTGTCAATTTCCTAATTTTTTTTCTAAACTCACTTGATTGTTCTTTCCCCCTACCTATGACCTTTACTTACTTTGCCTCAACTTCTCCCTATTCTCTTGATTCTTCCTTTCTCTCCTCCTTTTCACCATGATATTTTTTCTCCCTTTCTTATTATACTTCTATCTTGTCTCTATCCTGCCTCACTGCTTTTCCTTCTCTTTTTATCCATCCCCATCTCAGACAATGTGAATTGGTTCGGTCCTGATATTAGTTAATCCAGTGATTACAGTGCCACTGTTGGCAGGCAGACTCTTGTTAATGTTGATATTGGTCCGGGCTGTGATTTAGTGTATGCAAGCGCAGGAGATGGTTAGCTAGGTAAAATGATGTGACAAAGTTTGTCTGGTGGGCAGAATGCTCGGAGGAGACAGAACTGCTTCACTCACCATGTATACGATTGGAACCCCCCTGGCAGGGACCACAGGGCTTCCTCACAGGGCTTCAGTAAAAATGACGGTGTTGTCAGGTGAATATGTATTACACTAAATAGGTATGTCCCTGGAAGGACCTGTTGCACTTAATCACATATTACTGCAGTGAAAAAAAAGACAATTACTATCACTCTGCAGTGTTCTGAATTGGTAAATCATGTACAGTACAAGCCTGATGTATAAGCTTTAAACATAAAGATCCTCCTCAGTGTCATTATTATTTAAGTTAAATGGAAGTCCTGTGCAAAATCGAGGCTGACGGCACAAGCTGTGTAAAGTTTCACCTTTCTAACATTTGTGGTTTTACATAATGTTGATATTTGCATTGCTTATAGTGTGAGCACATGTTTGTGTTGGGGTACTGCCCTGTGCAGGTGTGAGGGCCGCCTGTGATGTGGGTGCAGCGGCCAGCCAGACTCTGCCCCGGGGGTCCCAATATCCGCCTTCTGGCTACAGGGTCAGGGGTAGTTTTACCTGTATAAATATCAAGACATTGTTAGCTTATATGCTGTTAATGTTGACCTTGATGTAAGACCTATGTTATTTGTACCATTATCTGTGTAAATTATTGTTACGACAAGTAGGTGGCTGTACTAAGATGTGATATGCCATTGGCATAAGGGCAAACTTTGCTCACAACTGTAGCTTCCAGCTGCACAATAAGTATGAATTAGACTGCAAGATTAGATAATGCACAAAGCAGTGTTATGACTGAAAGTTTGTTAGCCAAAGGTTAGGCATGCATGCCTATTTTTAGGGAGCTTTTAGCTCTTTGTTACAGGCTTATAATCACCAGAGTTAGTTAATGAGACTTATTTTGTTTTATTTGTTTGGGTGTTGAGCCCATTTAATCAAATAGAAGACTTAATGCTATGATCTATGATGTATAGTTTGGCACTGCTTTGACAGTGTCTGATTTATTGATCCAACTCTGCTCACATTTTCAAATTATTCATTATTGATGTCTCATGGTTCCTGACCTAAATGAGTTTTTGTATAGGAGATGAACAACGAAGAATGAGCTTATCGTGTAGCTGGCAGCTGTGCTCTTAGCTGTGGCGCTGAGACAGCTACAATGTGTTCAGTTCTGCTTTCAACGAGTTGGTATCCTAACCAGGCAGCACTGCCGGTTATTTCACGGCTGCCCACATAAGACTTGGCCCTGGCTGATGCGGTGCCCACACACTACATCTTTATATGAAGTAGAGCAATTTTTCCTAATAGGGTATTTTATATATAGAATTTCATGCACCAGCACATTCTCTATACCTTGAGCTTCCTTTTAGGTTAAGGTAACTTTAGTCATGTTACTTTTCTAAAGGACTATTATTTTTTCCAAAGCAGTTGTCACACTCAAAGAATTGAATTGGATATACATATTTAACTGAAGAATATTTCTCAGAATTGGGTACTACAATGGGAAAAATTTTATCAACTGATTATGTAAAGGGAAAAATAGAACTGAATGTAGTTATCATGAATATAAATACATCATTTACAGTGCTTCGTAGTCAAATAGGAAAAAATTTACCAGGGCAATCATGCGTGGGCAGCCAGGGCTCATTTTAATAGTGTTTCCTCAACATATCAGATATGATCCCTCCTTTTAAACTGCCATCATTTGTAGTTGTTACTCTATGATCCGTTTTCCTTGTAGATGATAGACAGGTAGGATGACACACGGGCGGGCCGCTTGTCACCACATTGCCAGGCAGAGCTGGTGGTTTGGGAGATCAGGAACTTATATTGCTTCTCCTATCCTGTAATTGTGTGGGATGCCAATTAAAGTCAAAACAATGAAAGTGATGCAGATGCACTTATCAGATGTGTTGGACAGATCACTAACTTAAGAATAATTCATTGGAATCAGAACAAAGTCATAGGGCCTATTCCTCAAGATCATCATCTAGAAATCCCAAGTTGCCAGCGGTACTACCTTGCCGGGTAATGTGGCGGTGGTAATCCGTGGCCCAGGCCAGAGGCAGCACTTTGCTGCTGTATCCGCTGGTAGCTATGTTTGTGGCAGTGCAACTAACTGGAGGTGATGGATTAGGCCTGTGATTATTGCTGAACAATTCACTTATTAGTATTTGTTCTAGTCATTTTCAAATTGGATTGCTATTTATATAATGGATTTCATTCCAAAAGAAATTTGTTATTGGGGATATTTTGTACTGTATGTGGTGTAACCATGTAAATTAACAAATCTTCCTCTTGAACATGTACTTGTGGCAAGGGGTCCCCTGATAGCACTGGCATACTGAAGAGTGATTCTCACCTGGTACATAAACACTGCAACCAACATGCAACTCTTATGTTGTGGCCAAAGAAGGCCACGTACACTTAATTACCTGCAGTGAAAGACTTGTGGTGATGTGATATTTTGATGGTTCATGGGCTACATTTTATAATTACTGTGACTGGTTATTATACTAACATATACATTGCCCATGGGTTATTTGCTGGACAGAGGTTAATCATGGTAACTGATATGTTCATAGGTTTGGTGTTGTGTAGTAAAAATATGTACATAATTTTGAAGAGAAATGTTAATATTGTTTATAAATTGGTATTATTTGTTTTTATTTTGTTAGTGTTGAAGCCAACAATTGAAGACAATATATATTTGTACTAAGAGTTTAATGCTTTTAAAAATTGCCTGTTATGTTTTGTGCTTATAAATTTCAAGCTGAAGCTTAATTTAATTCTAAGAATTAACCTTTAAAAGGTATTTTGTTGTAAAAAATTATTACTGTAGTCTTATACTACCAAGCAGGTGAAAGTGGTCTGACTTTAAACAAATACTTCCATTGAAGAGGAAATCATTATATGAAATAATATTATATTATATTTATAACTCATGTTTTATAAGGTATGTGTACATCCCCGAAGTAATGAAAAGTGAAATTAACAGATAGAAATGTTCTGTACTGTACTTGAAAATTTTTGCCCTTTTTGGTATTATACAAGTTAGGTGAAAGACTTAGTCAGAATTGGTTACAGAGTTCATGCATGAAATTTAACTGTTTTATACTGTGATGCTGCCTTTTCAATTGTGATTTGAAATTAGCATATCAGCTAGTAGTTTGGATGCCTTGTTGAAACACTAGTTGTTGGTAAACTTGTTTTAAGGAATAATGTCTGAGGCAATATTGTACAGGGTAGAATGCAGGGGACCCCAGTGTGCTTGATATGCCTGTGATAGGATGTGAAAGGTGAAGGGCATCCCCTCTGTAGTAGTGTGAGCCAGTGGTGGGTATTGTGACGGCGGTCTCTAAACGTGCAACCCGCTGCTGACACCACCTGCAGACGAAATCAAAACTTACAAGTTTATAGGGATGCTCTTGGAGAGTGTTCATGGCCCTGCTGGTAGTCTGATAACCAGTGGCAAATGGAGAATTAATTTTATTCACTTGTGATGTGTTTTTATGAAGATCTAGTTTTTAGTCAGTTGAGTGATTAAAAGTACGGACCTTTTGAATGTCCCTTTTTCACCAAAGGCCCTTCATTATTCCTGCAGTGTTTGTACCTGGAAAGTATCAAGTATTGTGCATGTGTGTTCCTTTTGTTACCTGTTTGGAGGCCAGTGAGACTGGCTTTGGTACCTGCATGATATAAGAGTGTTGGGGGGGGCGTGCCCTTCACAAGTATACAGATCGCAAGACATTTGCTGTTGATACTGCATTGTGACAGGCGATGATGGTGACCACGATACAGAAATGATAGGCACATATCATATTGTGTACAGTAGATCTTTTTAAATTGTTATTCATAATCTTTCATCACCAGGGACTCCAACAAATACAGAGACTCTGGTCTATATTCTGTGGTAATTTGACCCCAGCCAACTAATCTGTCCGTACGAGGTTGTCTTGGCAGCGTTTGTGGACATTGTGTCCCTCAACTGATTGGTGTCTTTTTTTCCAGATATGTATATTATTATTGATTAGTATACTGTAATATATATTAGAGCACAGGTGATTCCATATGATTAAGGTTTAATTTGCTTTAAAAGCATTGTGATAAGTGTGTTATAATGGAACTCGTGTGATATAACCAAATTATAAAATTAGATGTGGTATAAGTCTTGTCATAAATAAAATTTAAGTCACACCATCAGAAATGAGGGTCATGTCCACAGAAATAATTCTGATTCTAAGGTCCTGCTGAATGAGAACCTCGTGCGTCCTGACAAGGTCTCGCTCGTGCCCTAACTGTATCTTGTGCCAAAGAGACCCGGGGCCCATGGCTCAACAGCTGCTGATAGCTGTCAGTGATGCACTCGCCCGGAGGGCACCTCGTTACCCTCACTCCCAAAGTATACTTAACTATGGAGAAATAGAACCGTCCTTTTGGCAATAACTACCCCACTGAAGGATGTGCTCCCAAGGTGGCTGGCCCGGGCAGGGGAGGAGGGAGGGGTGTGGTGATGCCCTCAGCCAGAGTGAGGGGCCTGAATTCTACCCAATTGGTGGCAGTGGCACACGGGATGATGGATCCTTGTACAGATGCTAGTCACAAAATGTCCTTTCTTAAGTTTTGTACAAAAAATTAATTTATTCAAATTGAACAATATGTGAGGTAAGCATTTCTGTTGTGGTCCAATACCTCCTGTGCCACTGTGTCCCTCGCCTGGCTATTAGAGGAGGTGAAGCGCCAGGCCCAGGCGAGACCACTGTCACTCAACATTTCCTCTCTCGTAACAGTCTCTCATTTTTAGTACGAGATCAGTGCAATAATTACGACTAGACTACAATACTTTTGATTTACCATAATTATGAATTATTGGGCCTGGGGGTGGATGCCACCAGTTACATGTTATAGGCCTCTGCTTGCAACAGTTTACCCATAGTTGTTTTATTTCACTTTTATATTTGTAGTGTACCTGCTAGACAGCACATTTCTTGTACAGAGTTCCATGCATCCCCCATCCAGGCCCTTTGGCCATAAAGTTCAATACCGCTTCCGTTGACTTCCACAGTACAGTAGCTCGGTGGCCCGATTAACCCCCTGCCACCCCCTGCCCCACCCATTGCTGCCTTTGGCAGTGAGCAGTCCTCACCTCACCCCTGCTGCTAGGTGGAGGGCAGAGGAAGTAGTCCATTGCTTCTACTCCAGCATCTTCCACTATGCAGCAGGAAACCACTGAAGTACCAGTCCCATTTGCAGGTGTGGTGCAGCAGGTGGTGGCAGGTGGCTGCTGGCTCCATGTTGGGGTCGGGCTGCTACCAATCCACATGCCCATACACACCTGCAGTTGCTGTTATTGTTCTGGTTCCCAAGGCTTGGTTCACATCCTTACTCTGTTGGTTAGGTTCAGCCTATCATATCACGTTTGTAGTCCATTTATCTCAATAAACAACGAAAATGAGCTACTATTTATTTCTGTCCTCTAAAGTATAGTACAGTACTTAATAAGAATGTTTATAATTAAAACATTACTACTGTATAAGAAAGTTGAGAAATTAACTAGGCATATTGGCAAAATGGTTACTGTAATGTACTGAGTTCAACAATCTTCTGAGGTAATGTGTTGTTGATATCCAGTGTGAGTTAGTGCTAGTTGTATAACCATATCCCCACTGGCCTGGTGTAGGTGTAAATAAAAAAGAGATATACCTGTCTTGTCTCGACCTGTCTCTGATACATGATGCTAGGGAGGTGTTGATGACATAAGTTGTCCAGTAAATATCTCGAGCTCAAGCATCTGTGTGGGGAGTTTTTCTTACTGCTCATATAATTACATATATAGTACAGTATCACATGAAGATTAGACATCCCAGTTTATTTCACCTGATGACTAAACATCCTAATGCTAACCGAACCTAACCCCCAGGTAATATTAAGGTGTTTAATCATCAGGTGAAATAAATGGGGTTGTCTAATCTTCAGGTAATCCAAAACAAATCCCACAGAATTTAAATTTATTTAGAAGAGCTAAGAATGAAACAAGGGATGTAATACAGAAAAAAAGATGGTAAAATGGAGATGGGGAAAATATTCAAATAACTGTACATGCACAGTACAATAGTCCTAGTACTGTAGTTGCTAAATATATATGTATGAGAGCCAGGCAGAGAAATCCTGTTTGTTATTCAGAATGAATTAAACGTCAAAGCAAAGAAAAAGTCTACATGAGGAGATGGAAGAGCTATAAGCAAGGGCAGATCCAGGAATATCAAAATGGGGGTCCAGGAAGTTGTGAATGGAGGAACATGGCGAGCGCAGTGAGCCCACCCAGCTGTAAGCCCTCCGAATTTTTGGGGGAAATCTGACTAATATCATGGGCATTTTGAAGCCATGTGCACTTTATATAGGGAGATATTCTGATGTCAATAGTAATTACTGTACTGTTAACTACAAAAATGTCTGAGTACAATACTACATTATTGAAAATGTATTGGAATTTTCTGATGAAAAGGTGGATCCGGACTGCCCCTCCTGGATCCGCCCCTGATAAGCAAGCATAAGAATGGTGGGTAGCTTACAGTGGATGGATTCTTGGTTAAAATGTTAGAGAATGGAAGATGGAAAATTTATTTAATAGATGATAAGAGTGCATAGGTAATACATGAGAGGGAAATTTTATGATAGAGTGACGGTAAACAGTATTTATATTAGCACTAGTTCCCCCATACAAAGTAAACAGTGTCAAATAGTGAATGCAAAGTACCTGTACTGCAATAAATGAGCATATCTTATACCAGGAGAAGTACCCAGTATATAGTAAGGATCATTATGATTTTGACTTTACTTTTATCCTCTTTGACACTGATTGACTTATTGAGAGAATTATCATATCATCTTACGGAGAAGTAGCACTGTGGGTTCAGAAAAAGTGATTGGTGCGTAATGGAGACATAACCGACCACCCAAGCGGTTAACGAGCTGATCAGTAGCGGACCTCGGTTTCCTCCTGTACTAACACTGGATAGACCAATATAGACCAACCAAGGACTAAAAACTCTTATCCTTGAGACCAATTGCCTGAACTGTTAGTAACCTGGTAAGCGTTTAAATTATAAATGACAAGTGGTACTCTACTTGTCATGGGTACTCACGACAAATTTGTGCCATTAATCACCACACACTGCTTGCGGTCACGAAGAGTCTGTCTCCGATCCACGCTAGGGCGCTCCACCTAAATCGACGTTGGTTAAAAAAAAAAAAAACGCTGGGTGTCGATACGTGTGGGATCATACTGGAGTGTCATTTCAGTCTTAGATTTGGCATTCTTCTGTATTCATGCCAACTACCAATAAAAATGATAGGACTGGAGCAAACTAATGTGGAAGTGTGGGGGGGGAGGCGGCAGAGAGTACTGTTGGTGAATTTTAAGTGTAGTAGTAGGGAGAGCAGGTCACTACAATACTCCCCCCCTCCCCTCAGGGCGCAGCAGGCAAGGCACATAATCTGTGGGAGAAGCAGGAGAAAAAGCATCGGGGAAAGGAGGATTGTAGATATAGGAAGGTTGATCGGCGGGAAGAACAGGCGAGGAAATTGGTGCTTCTCTAGTGGCAGGTGCGAAGTCCTCGAGGGCGCTGGGTGGGATGTCTGGGTCCACAGGGCCAGGTGCAGGATCTTCATCAGGAGCAGGGTCCATGTCAGGAGCAGTAGGTACCCGAGGATGAAAAGAAGGTACCCAGAAATGTTGTGGACGAGTTGGTGCTGCAAGTGGCAACTGTAGGCAGACTGGCGAAGGAGGTGCAGGAGGGATGTGTTCAGGGCGATGGGAAGGCTGTTGTTGGGTAGTAGTCTTGAATGCAGAAACTGCCTGTCATTGTGTTTGCAGTAGGTCATGACGGACAGCAGGAGTGAAGTGGGCAAGGTCAGGAGTAAGTGAGAAGTCCCCGGGTAGGTGAAGGGTTTCGCCTAGGGTGAGACCTGCCAGGCTGCAGTCCATGTCCTCTTTGTGAGATGCAAGGATGCCAAGGAGCACTAAGGGTAGAGCATCCGTCCAACTGTAGGGGTCATGCTGTACCTTGATGGCGTCCTTCAGCTGACGATGAAACCGCTCTACCATACCGTTGGACTGAGAGTGAAAAGCAGTAGTGTGGTGCCTGAAAGTGCCGAGGAACTGCAGGAAATTATACCAGAGTTGTGACTCGAACTGGAGTCCTCAGTCAGTGATGACGTTCATGGGAGGACCGAAACGGGAGACCCAACCAGACAGGGAAGCGCGGACGGCTGACTCTACTGGAGCATCAGGCATGGGAATGGCTTAACCTGGTGTAACGGTCAATGCAGGTGAAGATGTAAGTGTTCCCGCAGGATGATGGAAGAGGTCCCACGATGTCCTGGTGCACTACCTGGAAGTGTCCTTTGGGCACAGGAAAGGTTTCTAAGGGAGCCCGTGTGTGTTGATGTATCTTAGAGGACTGGTAGGCCAGGCACTGGGCAGCCCATTTACAAGTGTCAGCTTTGATGCCGGGCGAGACGACACGTTGCGTGGCTGAGTCCATGGATGTGGTCGGTGACAGGCAGCGGTGAGACTCCAGAAGTGACGGAGGTTGTGGCGTTTACCAACCCCCTTCGAGTCGTTTCCTCGTGTAGTTGAAGGGAGCCTCACAGTGTCTAGCGTTAGCACCGAAACGTTGATGGTACCAGCAGAAGGTAGGTACACTGTGCTGGGGGCTGGCGGCGGCGTCTGAGGCAGGACGGGATGTCGAGGTCAGTAGGACACATCTTGTACCCTCATTTCATGTCTGACATAACCAGTGCTATTGGAGACAAACCGTACAGTTTACTGATAGATGAGTCAACAGATATTAGTAATAAGTATTTTGGAAAAGTAGTAATTTACTATGACGAAGTGAAGCGGAAAATATTTTCTAATTGGCAGGTTAGCAGTCTGTAATGATTTGCGTATGTAAAATTTATTTCAACAGTGTCTTTATGAAAATGATTTTCTAAATTATTAAAATTTCCATTTGGGTTATGTATATAAGGTTACTTGGGGTTCAAAATAAGGCAAACAGAGTATTAGGTTTTATATCTAGAAGTGTAAGTAATAAATGTGCAGAGGTCATATTGCAACTGTATATCTTACAATAGTCAGGCCGCACCTCGATTATGCTCTTCAGTTCTGGTGCTCTTATTATAGAATGGATATCAATTTTTGGGGTTATGAGATATGGGTTCACACTCAGGATGGGATGGAGAAAGGAGACTCACAATGTGCTCTCTGTATACATATTGTATTGGATGTACAGTGCAGCTTGATGCTGGGAAGTGGCAGCGTGGTAACAAGCATGATGTAGAGAGAGCTGGTTGGTGAGGGTGCTCAGAGGAGGACCAGCTTGTGGGTCGCCATGCTCGCCAGCGGGAGCGAGGGCCGCCAGGCAGGAGCGGAGGAGGTGGTGTTACTTGAAAACTGGCTGTAGGTAGAAAGAGAGGTAGGTCACCACGAGGTCTGGTCTTATATAGCGGAGGTAGGCGTGGCTTAATAGTTGACCTCCGTCATGTAAGGCGGCGCTGGTTGACCCAGACCACGAGGTATTCACTGGGGAATTCGCGGGGTCGGCTACTCAGCGACAAACAGCGTTTGTAGGGGAGGAATCCACTACAATACTCCCCCTTCCCTCAAGGCGCTGTAGGAGACTTGTTGTCTGCAGGGTTGCATGGCACATGTGAGGCAGAACGGGCGGTGCATGCCACATGTTAGACATGACGGCGAGGGCGTGTATAAGCCGGCCGCTAGTGGAGACAACCTTGTCTAGATACATGAGATCTGTGGGAGGAGAGAGGGAGAAGGAGGGTTGTGGAGGCGATTAATTTTTTACTGCTTCCCTCGCGGCAGGTACAGTCCTCAGATGCGCCTGCTGGGGTGTGTGGGTCTGGGTCAGGAGCAGGGGCTGCTTCAGGAAGAGGGTCTATGACAGCAACAGGGTGCATGACAGCAGCAGGGTCCACGACAGCAGCAGGGTGCAGGACAGTAGCATGGAGTACCTGAGGGAAAAAAAAAGGGTGTGTGGGGCCGCACTCAGGCGCATGGGCCGCGTCGGGAGCAGGGGCTGCCAGGCAGGAGCAGAGGAGGGTCCGCATCAGGAGGAGGATCCAGGACAGTGGCAGGGGGGTACTGATGGGCCGGGGGCGGCGTCTGAGGCAGGGCGGGTGTGCTGGGGTCGGTAGGACGTGGTGCTTGGGGTAGGAAGAAGAGCTGGTGTCTGCTTAGAGAAGCAGTGTTGCTCTAGGGTGTCTAACCTGCGGTGCAGAGACAGTAGCTGTAGAGCAGATGAGAGCTGCCTCTGTGTGGAGAAGCCAGTCTTCCATGTTGCTTGAAGACTGGGAGAGTGATCGGTTTCTCCTCCATCCTGTGTGAGTGCGAATCTCTGGGGGTCACCATTTGTGGGGTTTATGAGATATGGGTTCACACTCAGGATGGGATGGAGAAAGGAAACTCACAAAGTGCTCTCTGTATACATATTGTATTGGATGTACAGTGTAGCTTGATGCTGGGAAGTGGCAGCGTGGTTACAAGCATGATGTAGAGAGAGCTGGTTGGTGAGGGTGCTCAGAGGAGGACCAGCTTGTGGGTTTCCATGCTCGCCGGCGGGAGCGAGGGCCGCCAGGCAGGAGCGGAGGAACATAAGAACATAAGAAAATAAGGAGTCTGCAAAAGGCCGGTTGGCCTGTGCATGGCAATTCCTGCCGAGAGTTACTACCACTCTCTATCGTCCATGAATCTATCTAGCCTCCTTTTGAAACTTTCCAGAGTTCCAGCACTTACTACAAAGTTGCTAAGCTTGTTCCACTCGTCCACCACCCTATTTGTGAACCAGTTTCTTCCTATCTCCCTCCTAAACCTAAACTTATCCAACTTAAATCCGTTGCTCCGAGTCCTGTCCTGCTCGGATATTATAAGAACTTTATCTATATCCCCTTTATTGATTCCTTTCACCCACTTGAGTACGTCTATCATATCTCCCCGCACTCTTCGTCTTTCTAGGGAATGCAAGTTAAGTTTCTTTAACCTATCCTGATATGGAAGGTTTCTAAGTCCCGGAATCATTTTCGTCATTCTTCGCTGCACCGACTCTAGTGAATTGATATGCATTCTATAATAAGGGCACCAGAACTGAACCGCATAATCGAGGTGCGGCCTGACTAGCGCAAGATATAGTTGCAATAAGACTGGCTGTAGGTAGAAAGAGAGGTAAGTCACCACGAGGTCAGGTCTTATATAGCGGAGGTAGGCGTGGCTTAATAGTTGACCTCCGTCATGTAAGGCGGCGCTGGTTGACCTAGACCACGAGGCATACACTGGGGAATTCGCTGGGTCAGCTACTCAGCTACAAACAGCGTTTGTAGGGGAGGAAGCCACTACAAATTCACTGGAGTCGGTGCAGTGAAGAATGACGAAAATGATTACGGGACTTAGAATCCTTCCATATCAACATAGATAAAAGAAACTAACCTTACATTCTTTAAAAAGATGAAGAGTGAGGGGAGATATGATAGAAGTATTTAAGTGGGTGAAAGGAATCAATAAAGGAGATATAGATAAAGTTCTTATAATATCCGAGCAGGATAGGGCTCGTTGCAACGATCTAAGTTGGATAAACTTATGTTTAGGAGGGAGATAGGAAGAAACTGGTTCACAAATAGGGTGGTAGACGAGTGGAACAAGCTTAGCAACTTTGTAGTAAGTGCTGGAATGCTGGAAAGTTTTAAAAGGAGGCTAGATAGATTCGCGGATGATAGAGATTGGTTGTAATTCTAGACAGGAGCTGCCATGCACAGGCCAACCGGCCTATTGCAGACTCCTTATTTTCTTATGTAATACATTTATTTCAAAGTAATTTAAAGAGAATGTTTTTTTTTCTAGTAACGTTAAAAAGAAAAAAAATCTAGCGTGCTTGGGCCTCAATCTAGCGGTTTGGGGGGGGGGAGTAGTCTTATAGTGGATTCCTCCCCTACAAGCACCGAACCTTCTCGAATTCCACAGCCTACGCCTCCAGCGCCGCCCACGGAGCGGGGGTCAACTATCTACCCATGCCTACCCCCGCCTTATGAGGCCTGACACCGCTCTGACCAGCTCTCTTTCTACACAGTGCCACCAGCAAGCAACACACCCTCTTCCTCGCCAGCCGGACGGCTGCCGCTCCCGCCAGCGACCGTGGCGTCCCTCAAGCCGCGTGCCCTCACTCTGGGCACCCTCACCACCCAGCTCTCTCTACTCAACGCTTATTACCATGCTACCTACCCAGCAACAAGCTACACTGTACATCCAATACAATATGTATACAGTGAGCACATTGTAAGTTTCCTTTCTCCATCCCATCCTGAGTGTGAACCAATATCTCATACCCCTACAAATGGTGACCCCCGGAGATTCACACTCACACAGGATGGAGGAGAAACTGATCACTCTCCCAGTCTTCAAGCAACATGGAAGACTGGCTTTTTCACGCAGAGGCAGCTCTCATCGGCTCTACAGCTACTGTCTCTACACCGCAGGTTAGACACCCGAGAGCAGCTATGCTACTCTAAGCTGACAGCCGCTCCTCTTCCTGCCCCAAGCACCACGTCCTACCGACCCCAACACACCCGTCCTGCCTCAGACGCCGCCCCCGGCCCAGCAGTACCCCCTGCCGCTCCTCCTGACGCAGGCCCTGCTCCTGACCCAGGCCCACACACCCCAGCAGGCGCATCTGAGGACTCTGTACCTGTCGCGAGTGAAGCACAACATTCATCGCCTCCACAACCCTCCTTCTCTCTCTTTTCTCCCACAGATCCCGTGTATCTAGACAGAGTTGCCCCCCAGCGGCCGGCTCATCCACGACCTCGCCGTTATGTCCCACATGTGGCATGCACCGCCCGTTCTGCCTCACATTTGGCACGCAACTCTGCCAACCTCCAGCCTCCCGCCGCGCCCGGAGGGGAAGGGGAGTATTGTAGTGGATTCCTCCCCTACAAGCACCGAACCTTCTCGAATTCCCCAGCCTACGCCTCCAGCGCCGCCCACGGAGCACCCCCGCTCCGTGGGGTCAACTATCTACCCACGCCTACCCCCGCCTTATAAGGCCTGACACCGCTGTGACCAGCTCTCTTTCTACTCAGTGCCACCAGCAAGCAACACACCCTCCTCCGCGCCAGCCGTGCGGCAGCCGCTCCCGCCAGCGACCGTGGCGTCCCTGAAGCCGCGTGCCCTCACTCTGGGCACCCTCACCACCCAGTTCTCTCTGCTCAACGCTTATTACCATGTTACCTACCCAGCAACAAGCTGCATTGTACATCCAATGTACAATATGTATACAGTGAGCACATTGTGAGTTTCCTTTCTCCATCCCATCCTGAGTGTATTGGGCCCGCTGTTGTTTGTTTGTTTCATAAATGACATGCCTGACGTTGTACACTCCTCCATACAAATGTTTGCCGATGATGGCAAGTTATTTCGGGAAATTAAGAACCAAGCGGACTGTGAAGAGCTGCAGAAGGACCTCTGTGGGCTTCAGGAATGGTCGAAGAAATGGCTGCTGAGATTCAATGTCACGAAGTGTAAGAGGATGCACCTGGGGCGTACCAACGGTAAGGAGGCGTATCATATGTCCCAACGGGATGAAGAAAATGCACTAGTTGAGACTATGTGTGAGAAGGACCTAGGTGTGTATGTTGACAATGAGCTGAAGTTCTCGGGCCATTGTGAGAAGAAGGTAAATCAGGCAAATAAATTATTGGGTCTTATAAGAAGGTCGTTCAGATATCTAGACGGTCCGTCCCTCGTGACGATCTTCAGGAGTGAAGTGCTTCCCCATCTGGAGTACTGTCACCCCATCTGGTCCCCGAGATATGCTAGGGACTGTCAGTTGGTTGAAAATGTTCAAAGGAGGGCCACCAAACTGGTGCCTGCACTTCGGCACCTCAGCTACCCTGAGAGATTGGAGCGCCTGAACTTGCCTAGCTTATACTACAGACGGGCAAGGGGGGACCTAGTTGAGGTGTATAAGCATCTCAGGGGGCACTACTCAGTTGAGTGTCCTTACTTGGAGCTGGCGGACGCTCGCCCCACAAGGGGTCACAGCTCAAGATTGAAGAAGCCGCGAGTCCAGAAAACCGTGAGGGCAAACTTTTTCGGAGTGAGGGTTGTAAACTCTTGGAACAATCTACCAGAGAGTGGTGTGACGGCACCGAGTGTGAGCTCTTTCAAGAGAAGAGTTGACCAACACTGGAGCGGGTTCAGGTACATTCAGGAGCCGGTGCATGCCCAGTATTTGCCAACAGTGCATGACAGAGACGTGACCGATCGCCCGGGCGGCTAGCGAGCCGATCTTTTGGTGAAGAATATAAATGAAAAGAGACGTGACCGATCGCCCAAGCGGCTAACAAGCCGATCAGTGGCGAAGAGGATAAAAGTAAAAAAGTAATATCTCATACCCCTACAGTCTTGCGGGAACTTAGATTTCTATTTGGCAAGTGGTACAGTAACACTGTCCAGCCGATCATGATGCGTCACTTGTCGTTGACCGTCGACGACGAGTTGCCAGGTGTGCCATAAATTATACCAATTTGGTATATTTAGACTCGGTTGGCATAAGAAAAATTTGCTTTTATGCCCAACCCCATGTGGCATTATTTTTGGCACATTAGAGGATCTGTCTTTATATTGTTTGTTTTTCTTCAACAGAAAAGTTGCTAAAATACAGCTATTTTCGTATTCCTTAACACGTTACTGTGAGTGTGAACTCAGTTGCTGTGTGCTCGTGCTGCCTTTGCCTTTTAACTCTGACTCGTCACTTGTTGACGTAAGTCAGTGTGGCGGCCGAGGCGCTGTAGGGAGGACGTGGAAGGTGTATGCAGTGTGTTAGGTTTTCGTCGTGGCTGCGGTTCTTATTTAGCTCTCGTATTGCATTAATCAGAAAAGTTATCCTTCGTCTTCATTGAAGCTATTAGGTAAGACTTAATGGTAATTTGTGTTGAAAGCGCTACCACCAGGAGTTGTTTAATTTCGTTCATTTTTATCCACAGATGTTTATCATTATGGTAAGTATTTTAAGAGGCGACAATTTGTATTTTTGTATTTTAATCACCTGTAGTGCATAGGGCATGAAGAATGAGGGAAATTGTGGGGTAAAACACTGAAAAACTGATCATATGACAAATAATGTGTCTACGTGCTTTGCAGGCGAAGACATTAATTATTTACTGTAAATACTGTGAAAAATCGGTGAACGGAAATAAAGTCAGGAAAAAAGTCACAATTTTGTCTCGGAAAAAAGCCATTTTATTTAAATGCCATAAACAATTAAAGTAATAAAACATTTTTTTAAACAATTAACTCACAATACATGACTTTTATATATTGACAACTTAATTTATATATAATGGCATTATGCATGATTGAGAGGCTGGCCTATCTCTGGATTTCCTCTCTGTAGGTTTGTCGTCATACTGTCCCGACACCACTGGATCTTTTAACACACTTCCACCACAACTTGGTTTTGCGAGTGTCATATTTGGTATACATGTACCCATTGTAGCATAAAAATTATTGTTCACTAAATACTAACAGAATATACAGAGGGACAAGGTTATATATTTATATAGGTTAGGTTAGGTCAGGTCACTGTGACCACAGGTTGTCTAATCCGGTAAATTGTTTTACCAGGTGTTTGGTTTGAGGTCACGTTGAGGTGACCTATATACATACAGAATATGTCTGTGTGTACTGTGTTTGGATTGTGACTTCTTTTCCTGGTTTCGAAAATCTGCCGATTCACCGCTTATCGTCTGTTTGTTTATAAAGGACCCACTATCGAGTTGAGCAATGTGTTTTCCCGATGGTTTAGACAATTTTAAGACACTTTTCCTTAATGACGTTTCCCTTGCAAATGACATAAATATACTGGGGATCCAGGGGGAGGGCAGAGCCCCAGGCTAGGTTAGGAGGTTAGGTTAGGTAATTTGAGGTCATCTGCGACGGAAACGTCACAGGAGAAAAGTCTTAAAATTGTCTAAACCATCGGAAAAGCACATTGCTCAACTCGAGAGCCATGGTTGGTCGAAACTACAAATTGGCTGTATTCCCTTAAAAAAAAATGTGTGAAAATGGGGTATTTTTAAGGTAAAATTTTAGTTTGTCATCCATTTATTTACCTAACCTAACTTAGCCACAGAACCCAGGAACTATATCTAACCTAATTGGAGGGTTTTGCCCCCCACACCCTTCATCAGATTCCAGTACCTTTAGTTCAATTCCTAAGATTCCCTGGATGACCAAAACAAAAATAAAATTTTTAACCCCATTTTCAATGAAAAACACCGGACAGTCATGTCCCAAATAATGACCAAATACGTACTACCTGTATAATGATGAAATCATCTGTGAAAATTTGAACGAAATCGGTCAACCCCTTCTGGTGGTAGCGGTGTTCTCTTACATTATTGACTTAATGTACAGTATATATAGGCTCCAGTCACTATGTTTTACACTACCCTATATCTATTTATCCAAATACTTGTATCCCCTTACTTTTATTTTTATCCTCTTTGCCACTGATTAGCTCGTTAGCTGCTTGGGTGGTCAGTCACAACTCTGTTACGCACTGTTGTCAAGTACTGGGCATGCACTGGCTCCTGAATGTATCTGTACCTGTGCTATTGTTGGTCAAATCTAGTTTTGAAAGAACTCAAACTCAGTGCCGTCACAACACATACTGGCAGATTGTTCCAAGACTTCACATTTCTCACTCCGAAAAGTTTGTCTTCTCAATTTTCTGGATTTGTGGCTTCTTCATCCATGAGCTGTGACCTCTTGTGAGGCGGACGTCTGCCAGCTCCATGTATGGACACTCGACTGAGTAGTGCCCTCTGAGATGTTTATAAACTTCAATTAGGTCAACCCCTTGCCCGTCTTTAGGCAGTTGCAGGTGTTCTATTCTCTCTGGATAACTGAGGTGCCGTAGGGCAGACACCAGTTTGGTGGCCCTCCTTTGGACATATCAATCTACTGACGGTCTCTAGCATATCTCGGGGACTTGATGGGGTGACAGTACTCCAGACGGGGAGGCACCTCACTCTTGAATAGCATTACGAGGGACAGGCTGTCTAGATATCTGTACGACCTTCGTATAAGTCCTACTAGTTACTCGATTCACCTTCTCACAATGGCCCAAGAACTTTCGTTCGTTGTCAACTTACACACCCAGGTCCTTTTCACATTCAGTCCCTATTAAAGCAGTTTCTTCTTCTTATTGGGACATGTGATATGCTTTTTTACTGTTGGTACGACCTAGATGCATTCTCTTACACTTCGTGACATTGAATCTTAACAGCCATTTCTCTGACCACTCTTGAAGCTAACAGACATCTTTCTGTGCCCCTTCACAGTGTTTGGTTTTTAATTTCCCTGAATAACTTGGCATCGTCTGCAAATATTTGTATGGAGGAGTGTAAGCTTCTGCCATATCATTTATGAAACAAACAAACAACAACGGGACCAGTGCACTGCCCTGTGGTACCCCATTTGTCACAGGTACACATGACAATTTTTTGCCATTAATTGCCACACACTGCTTGTGCTCATGAAGAAAGTCGCTGATCCATGCTTGGACATTTCCCTGAATTCCGTACCCTTCTATTTTAATTCTCAGGCGTTCTCTTGGGTATGCTATCGAAAGCCTTGGCAAAGTCCAGATAATTATGGTGGCAGCAGGTCTCCTGTGGTGACCTGTTTTGGTTCACATCATCTGCTATACGAGAATCAAGAGCGTCCCTGGTCTATGTTTATATGTCAAGAAATGAACAACGATCTCATCAGGCGTGTTTTTTATGATTATTGGATTGAATAGGTTAATTTTTTTCTAGAGATGTGTGGATAATAGGAAAAAAATTAAATGACAGTGCACAAGTTAGGTGAGGGTAGGTCAGGTTCTAGTAGACTCTGTGCATTCTCGCTTCCATTTTCCTGTGCAATATCATGCACAGAAATTTTGGTTCTTAATTCCATAAAGTTATTTTTGGTGCTAATTGTTTCTTCCACCTTTACCGTTTTGGCTATTTGTCTGGCATTCGTTCTGATTAGTTGAGGCTGATAACCTAGATTACTGAGTTTGGACACTTGCAAACACGGTTAGGTTAGTTGGGTTAAGAAGTGGCTGAATTTAATAATCTAGGATCAGTGTCATCAGCTTTGACCAATGAGAATGAATAATCCTGGATGTAAACATTGGACCTGTGGTGTTGTATCATGTGGTCGTGCAGTCACTTGAGGACAGAAAAAAAAACATGAAAATAACATGACAAATAACTTTCCTCAAACTTTTTGGACTTTTCATTAGAAAGAATTAATCTTCAATAGAAATATTTCCATAACTTGCTGGTGTCGGTGCAATACTGTCTTCCACTATTACCTTGTTTATACTGTATACTGTTTATACTGGTACAGTAAAGCTTTCCTAATAAAAATCCTTTAATAAGTGCAGACCTTTCTCTTACAATGTTTGAAATTTTTAATGGAACTGTTAGTAACATCCTGTACAGTGCTTACTAACTGAAGCCTCATGGAATCAGCTATTCTGGTGATTTTATAAATACTGTACCTGTATGTTAGAAATGGATGTGGTGGATGCAGTTCTTGTCTCCTGTCCCAGAGTCACTAAATCAATTCCGGGGCATCCACAGGTCTCCCAGCAGTAAATGGGTACCTAACTTAGTGAAGATAATCAAGTGCACTGTTGGCCACACTGCCTCTTTATGTACCAAAGGCTTAGTATACAGTTTGATGAATGCAGACTATTTATACTTGGTTGCCAGGCCTATGGGACCCATTTCACTTACCAGTACAGTATATAGAGCATTTGCTACTTGTATGGGTAAAATTTCCGAGGAACTCTCCCAGATCGTTAGTGCTGAATATTACGAGAAACACTTCATAAATGAAATTGTTTAGAATTGTTTCAAAATGCAAAGTATGTTTACACAGGCAAACTTGGGTGCAAAAAATTATTAATATTCCCTCTTATGCTAATGCCTTCACATCCCTCAGTGCTTAAATGATTTAAAAAGGTTGAACAATTTACAGTACGTATTAGATTACAGTATTCTACTGCATCACCAAACTTCAGTACCTCTTGTATATTGTATTATACTGCATGCTTTTCAGTGATCCTGTCCTGCCCAAATCAGACTTAATGATAGTTTTATTTAGATTATTGAAATACGTAAGGTGCGTAGGTGGTGGCAATGGGTAAAACGGTGGATTATTCATTAAGCAGTTTAAAAATGTCAGTCCAAGTGAAGGTACTGTATCGGTAGCTAAGTCTTGTGGAGACTTAGCTGACAGAAGACACTCAAATCTAGTTTGTAGAGAATTCTGGCCAACAGAAGTGCAGTTGATAGAGAATTTACAGTAATGGCGGTACAATATCTTGTTTATTTGTTTTTATTTAAGATGACCTTGAACATTGTTGGATATAGAACTCAGGATTCCTGAATTTCTTGTTCAGTTAAAAAGGTTCCATTATTTTCAAGTGAAATTGGGGAGGATAAGAAGGTAAGCATGAACTCCACATGCTTCTCTGTTGGTCACTGTAATGCTAGCCTACTGCTCTTCACTTGACACAATGTAAAGGGGTGCTCAATGAACTAGGTCCTGCACTGCGAGGAGCAAATCTGAAATATGGGTAAAGCTTGCAGGGATGGTGGTTAATGTTTGAGGGTCTACTAGTGGACTTAAGTGAGGCATGCAAAACTGATAGTCAAAGCTCAAAAATATGAACACCTCTCGTCCAACCAGTGTTTAAATATCTGAAAATGCATTCTTTTGAGTGGTATGGAGACCCGAGAACAGTTTAGATAAAAGGGATTTTAAAGGGTATTTTTGTGTACTGTACAGATACACAGTTAAATGTAAGGATATAAAAATCTTAAGTGTTTTATTATGTTACCATTGTACCCTACAGTAATGTTTTATCCATTTTTCTTAATTTATTTTTATTTTTATCATTTGGCTTTTTCACACATAAGGGAGCCAGAATGAGGTACCCCTTACTTTTCCATTTTTTAAAGCATTCATACACCACTGGGTTCATCTCTGCTGACCTTGTTCCATGCAGTGAATAATGCTGGCAATGGCTGTATTTCTCTGACCACTGTAGTACAGTATTTGAAAATCTTTGTCATGTTGTTGAGCAAGTTTTTGTGCTCGGACACCCTTTGAATGATTAATGCAGTATGCTGTTGATGAAGTACAGTAGTCTTGTTACTTTGGCACAGTGCAATGTGTAGAACATATTTCACATTGTGGTGCCTAGTCATGAACTGTTTACATAATTTGTTTTAAGACACTTGTATCATGGGTTATGGGGGACCTGCCCCATGTTCATTAGTGGAATCACAGCGTAGTCTGCTTTGTGTGACAGGATACACGTCATTCTGGAAATGATTAGGGGAACTTTGTTGTTTCCTGTCTGGGAATGGTTGGGCCTATTCATAATGTAGTGCAACACTGTATCCTTATTCAGGGGTTGTACAGTACTTGTCTTTGTTCTGCATTGTTTTAAATCTGGAATAGATATATTCATAAAGCTTAAACCTCATATGTTATGTTTAAACAAAGTTTGAATATTTATATACAATACATAGTATTTATATATAAATTGATTCACCAGTGGAAACTGACTACCCTGAAGTTAATAAATATCACCCCCCCCCCCCAAGAACGAGGATCAGTGAGTTTATGATTAATCAATGAAGTGCAGGATAAATTTTTACAGAGTGATTTGGGGTGGGATCAGACATACAGTATTCCCACATTGGACCGTGTTTAGTGCTTAGAGAAATTGTGCAGTATATCTGCCCAGGCACTGCTGAGAGCCTTGTGATGTGATACTCAGGGATGGCATGTCTGTGAGTGAAGGAGATGGTCATTTTCTTCTCAGATAAGTTTTCAGGTGGTGAGCTAAATTACTTGCTTATTTTTTCCTACAAATGTTGGTTGTGTTATAGAATGTGTATAATGTATATAGAGTGGGGTATGAAGATATAATGGTTAAAAGTTGATTAGGGTGGGAGCTTGTGTTTGGAGATAAAAGTGAACATTACAATTAAATGGTGTCTGGTCCCATACTGTACACAGCAAAGTTTGGATGTCCGATGTGGATCCAAGAAATTTATTAACAACATTTGCATAACCATGAGTCGTATTTTGTATGGTCCCAATTCAGACAACGTGCAAGTTTTTTTTTTTTTTTTTTACCTGTCGGTTTCAGATGGTGTTTCTGCAAACTGAGCCCTCTACCAAAGCTAGGCAAATGATTTCATTATCTAACCATGTAAATATACAAGGTGATATTTTTTTTATTCTCACACCATGGCACTCACTGTAGAAGAATGCGTGTTTTGTCAAACATAACATCAAGAATGCATCCTTCGGGGAATGTCAAATTGCAATTAAAAGTCGCTTTGGTGGTCGTATCAAACCTGCAAAATCAATCAGTGATGTGGAAACTGGTGAAGCAGTTGAGAGAAACAAGCTGTGTAAAATTAAAAAAATACGAGCTAGCCAAGTGTTGTTAACTTAGGCAAAATAATATGTAACTAACTGATACTGTACTGTATATACTTTTTCATGTATGAGAATAATTTGGGGTTCTCAAAAAAAATATCATGTATATTATGTATACTGTACTGTATTTTTCATTATTTTTATTTATGTTTTCTTAAATATTTCTTCACCACATGTCCCATCCCACCCCATGCAGAAACACCCGCACAATCTTTGTTGGTAATAAGTTTGATAAGTACGATACTGCATGTCTGATAACTGATTTTTTTTATTTTTTCCAGATTATACTTCATTAAAGGAACATGATTTCCCGTCTACTTTTTAGAAGGTGAGGATTAAAGTTAGGTACATTTTTTATTTTATTTTCATGTTGAATTGGATTCCCTTTTCATCACCCTGTGCCTGGCTTCATTTTATACTAATCTGAGACTTTATTTAGGTTTATTGTGTTCAGTAAGATGGTTTTGGTTTTGATCCTTTTGTATATTTTATTAATTTTAGATTTTCCCCATAACAAGAGGAAACAGAATATACTGCATCATTATACTGTAATGCCTTTACTGTAATGACTTAAGCTTTAATGACATTCTTTTAAAGTGTGGTGAATAACTTGCTGGACTTATCCTTACTACATCCTAAACTGATGCTGTAATGTGGAAACCAACCACTGAAAGTGAAGTGTTGCCCTGTTTTAAGAAACTTTTATGATCGAGAAGTGAGTTTTGTATCATAATTGGGATGATGTATGAAAATTTGATGCTGTAAAAATTCTTATTCTTTGAAAAATCCAAAACTGTATTTTATCTAATTAATGACTTACATAGTCCTCTCAGGTGCCCACAGTGTTGCTAAGAACAGATAACCAGCTGATAACTACACTCAAGCGTACAGGATATTTGTTTATCAGTTTCAAGAAGACCATGGGGGAATTTTTGTATTTTATCTCTTTAAATGTCCCAGATTGCAGGATAATACTCTGAATTTTTCAGTTGAAATATGCTTGCACCTGGAGCGCACACATTGGCAACCACATGGCCCCTGCCCAAATTATTTTCTCCCACAGCAGCTTAGTTGCATACCTACTTGTAAGAATTATGTGTCTGTGATCCTGTGATTAAATATTTTATCACATCCCAATCTTATCAGATAGGGGTGAATTAAAGTCAGAATAAAGTATTGTTTCCTCTTAGATGAACAGTAAAGCAGGTGTAATTATCAGGGTGGGTTTTTTTTTTTTTTTATGGGGATAGCCCACCCAGGCACAGGTCACTGACCCACATCGGGGCCTGGGGGGCGAAAATTTAATAATAATAGTAATTCATAGTAAAAAAATTTATAATAAAAAGTAAAATAAAATAATAATAATAATAATAATAATAACAACACTGTAATAATGATAATAAAGAAAAGAAAAACAATAATCAATAGTGAGAAACGCTATAGTGTATAGTATGTTGTGTTGTCAATAGTAAGAGAAACAATTGAGATCCTGCAATTGTGTGTAAATGAGGCAGAAAGACAGATCAGCAACCTGGGACTTGGTCACAATGTTCGTGATGCCATATGGCAGCAGGGTCTACCATTAGACAACACATTATGCTTCCAATATCTTCCCAGGCGGTAGTACCTCCCTGTTTGATAGCTGCCTGCTACCTACTACCTACATAGTCTTGAGGCTGGAGTCATTATTGCACTGTTTAAAAGATACAAGATTAAACAGAATGCAATATAGAACATGGAAAAATACATACCGGTATAAAATTTACAATACCTGTACTGTATACATTATGTACAGTCGTGGCAACCTGTGGTGTAATGGTCAGCATGCTCGCCTCGCAAGCGAGCGGACCCGGGTTCGATCCCCAGGCAGGGTGAAACTATGGGTAAGTTTCTTTATGCCATTTGCCTCTGTCTACCCAGCAGTAATTTGGAACCTGGATGTTAATCGATTTGTGGATCGTATTCCGGGTTAACGGTTCGCCAGTGCAGTTGGCGAGTTGTCCGTTCTTCTCGGACTATTCCTTGACACTGGGACATGCATTTCATTAACTTAGGGTGTGGCTGTTGTGTTGGCAACAGCTTCTACACCTTAAACAAATTCACTTCTAGGTGGCCCTTGGGCCGGCCATCCTCGTTACAGGAGGGGCAACCATTATGTACAGTCTGGGAATGTTCCAGGTAAGACACCCGGCCACAAGTTCAAGCCTCTGAATGTGAGACCTGTGGTAGTGCAAAAGTGGCAAAGCTCACAAGAAATTACCAGATTGGTAAGTGTCTTACTACTGCTTCGCTACCATAGTTCTCGCATTCAGAGGTTCAAACTTGTGGCCGGGTGTCTTGCGCTGAACATTCCCCAACTGTACATAAAGTGGTTGGACCCAAAAATATGTGCAGTACAATATGTGAAATGGATGGTCAATCTTAGTCTTGAGATCAAAAGGATGTGGGGTTCATAGATGGAAAATGTAGTGTAGAGAGAAGGTTATGCTAGGAAAAGGTTGAAGCTGGTTCACATGATGTTTATGTGAAAATCCATCCTCTCGCTTTTGTCTCTTACTGGAGTTAGTTCTCCACTCAATTTTGTCACTTCCTAGCTGCCATCACAAATTGGGTGCAGAATGCAGAACAGTTACTTGCTGCTAGGCTTTCTTCGCCTGGTCTAACTGGAGTAAGGGACTCTTGAGGTTCAACACATTCCGAATACAGTACCTCTCCATTAGTGGCATGAACAGTCGTGCAGTAGATGAACAAAAAACAGTTGATACTCTTGTATGTATTTATTAGGATATCATCTATGAATTTTATGGTTTGTTCATTGTGCACAAAACATTCTGCTAGAACATTTATTGCAGGATGATGTGGAACTTAACAAATGTTGTACTGTACTGTATTATGCAGCCCTCATGTCTCATGGAACAGAGCTTATTACAGGAGCATGATTACTGTATAATACTGTTTACCTATTTCAAATCTGGCCATTCTTTTTTGATGAGCTCGTAATCTGTAACTACATATATGCTGGTACAAAATACTGTTCTGGTATTAGTACTGGGAGGAACTGTAATGAGTAAAATTTTTTGAAGTTATTAAAAAATATAATTAGTACAGTATTTTATTTAATTATTGTTTATTCGCTTTCCCCAAGACTGACAGAAAGACATAATGCAGGGACCAGTGTGCTGGGTGTTCGTATGAGACACACTGAGGATTACCATAAAAATTGGGAACACAAGAGACATAAACACCATGTAGCTGCCACCATAGTTGGGGCTGGAGCTGGTGTGGCTCTCTGGCTTGGCTATAATCATCAGACAGGTAAACTAATCTACCCTTCCTACTTATTTTTCAGTAGTCCTACACAGTTGCTGAGTATTTTGCTCAGGTGATATACAAGATGATGTGTTGAATACAATAATTCCTTGTTTAATGTGCATGCAGTTAGTTAGTTTTCATTATTACATGGTTTTAAAGTTAGAAAGACTTCAAATAACACTCTGTAGCTCACAGGGCACCTAGTGATGGATGTTGTCTGTGATAGTAAGAAAATGACATGAGAAGTAATAAAGATGTAATTGGATAAATTGGAATTTGTGAAATGTTATTTCAAATTGCTATGGGGAGAGAGAGGCATAAGAATTCTTTCATAAATGTTTGTTTATCTCCCATAGGTGCTTCCAGTTTGCCCATAGAAGCAGAAGAAGATCTGGAAAAGTATGGGGCTTTTCGCAATGGATTACCCGAGTACACCCTCGAGGATGTGTCCAAGCATGCCACCATGGAAGACCGTATATGGGTGGCATATCGTCGTGGAGTGTATGACATTACTGATCTCATCCATAAACATCCAGGTAATGCACTAATTACCTTTACAGTAGATTGTGTGAAGAGTGTGGTAAGGTCCTGCTGTGTTAGTGCTCAATAAGTGAGGAAACTCTTCTGTTGACAACTTCAGGAATTAGTGTTATAGATCTTTCAGCATTTAACGTGAAAATTAGCCAAATGGTGGTGGTATTTGTCCTGGGAAGAATTTGATGCATACATGTACAGTATACTGTACTGTATTCGGATTCATTACTTATCATGAATGCTGATTAGTACTGTATTGTAACCTTCTAAATTAGTTTATTTCAGAAACTGATCTAATAATGAAAATGTACAGTACACATTAGAGGATGATAATAATAGCTAGTCTTTTTTTTTTCTCAAAAGCACCAATTCTTCTAAAGAATTCACAAGTGCCTGAAACTGTAAAGTCAAGGCCCTGAGAATAAAAGGAAGTAGAGTACAGTAGAACTTCAATAAATCAGACTGATTTGGGCAGACCCCAGTCCGAAAAATTCGAATATGAGGGGGGGCTGGAGATAACACTGCTTATCTGAACTGTTATCTTGTTACTGTACTTCAACAACTAAGGTCTTTAAGTGTATAACAAGGTTATTAAAAATATTACAGCAACAATAAAAAAATATGAAACTGAACTCTCTGGGTTGAAAATCAGACTATATAAGTCTGATTGTCAACAACTGTTGTCACCGAGATGATTGTTATTTACTGTAAAGTGTTATATGTAAGTAACCAAAGAATTTGTCTTATGAATAAAGGGATGAAGACCATTGGTACCCAGAATATGCATGTGAAAGGCTTAGTCACATTAATATTTTTTTCTCTTTGTTAACTTTAGAGTTACTGGCTCTGTATTTAATTTTCTACATTGGCTGTTGATGTACTGTATGGCATCCCATCATATTTCAGGTGGAGACAAAATTCTTATGGGTGCTGGAGGGTCAGTGGAACCTTTCTGGGCATTGTATGCAGTTCATAAGAGTGCTCATGTTTTAGAATGGTTTGAGTCATACAGAATAGGTAAGTTTATACAGTACTGTATGTATATATATACTGTATATATATATATATATATATATATATATATATATATATATATATATATATATATATATATATATATATATATATATATATATATATATATATATATATATATATTTCATTAGCCCAATAAAGCACGTGGACTTCTACATACAATCAAAATCAACACCTCAACCCGCCAGGATTCGTACCCACGGCCCACGAGCCCATGACTGTGACTGGGGAATGCTACCTCTGGACCACCAGGATACTAAAAGCAGTCCTAGACTCTTGTTATATTTCACACAAAGCCTGTTCAACGAGCTTATGGCGCCGTGAACCTCTAATGGGGACTACCCATGTTGGGTGCAAGAACTAGATTTTAACTTTTAGTAATAAATAATACCTCAGACTAAAGTTAGGATAATATAATTGACATTTCTGGATTCCTTGCAGGTCAGGGAATATTTTGAATGCAAACGTCATATATTTTGCACAAAAGATAAAATATTTGCTTTGTGTAAACCAAATTATTACATTAGATCTAAAATTTGTATGTCTAATGCAAAATCCATGATGTTTATATTCAAAATGATCATCATATTGTAAGAATTCCAGCAATGTAAATTATATTCTGGCCGGGTAATTTGTATGAATTTTATGAGCTAAAACATATATCTTCATTAATAAACAAAGAAATATTCTTCAAGGACACTATCTGTCAATCAAAATACTTGGCCCCAGCTGGGTCGGTCCCTCCCTCCCTCCCCCCAACCCCCCACCTTCCCTCCCTACCAGAGAAGCTTTGGGAGAAAATAGTAATTTACATTTTTAGTAATAAATAATAACTCGGACTAAAGTTAGGATAATATAATTGATATTTCTGGATTCCTTGCAGGTCAAGGAATATTTTGAATGTAAACTTCATATATTTTGCACAAAAGATAAAATATTTGCTTTGTGTAAACCAAATTATTACATTAGATCTAAAATTTGTATGTCTAATGCAAAATCCATGATGTTTATATTCGAAATGATCATCATATTGTAAGAATTCCAGCAATGTAAATTATATATATATATATATATATATATATATATATATATATATATATATATATATATATATATATATATATATATATGTATGTATGTATGTATATATATATGTATATATATATATATATATGTATGTGGGTGGGTGGGTGGATGGATGGATGGATGGATGGATGTGTATGTATGTATATATATATATATATATATATATATATATATATATATATATATATATATATATATATATATATATATATATATATATATATATATATATATATATATATATAGAGGGGGTAAATATACTTTTTTCTTTTCTTTTTATTCAGTATGTTACTTTGTTGTTTTAACAATTTATTATAAATAAGGTTAATTACCTATAGAGAAAGCATAATATTCACCAACACTTAACTCTTTAAATGGGTATGAAAAATATTACTGGGGGGTTGACTTACATTACTACACATGCTTGATTTGCCCAAAAAAGAAGTAATAAATCTATGTCATATAAATTTCATTTGGTAGCTCTATGGCCATACATACCACTTGTAGTCTTGATGATAATTTTATATATTGAATGTTTGAAAATGTGAAATATCCTAAACTTTCTGATCTTTAGGCTAAAAAGTTTTTGTGAGAAGTTACCAAATATTTGATATCAAAATTGTCTCAGGTCTGATGGACAACAAAGAAACCCTAGTAAATTTATCTTCAGTATTTCTTACAAAGAATCTGGCTTCAAGCTTTTATTCTTGTGAGATGAGGATGGATTTACTGTTGTTGGGTAGAAGGTAAATCCTTGTCAAGTTCTGGGTAAACGAGATGCATGTTTGAGGTGGTGTTGTGAAAAGGGAATACTCAAGCTGTAATATAGGACTTCTGGGCCAATATTTGATTTATATTTAAACTGTGTTCCTTCATTTAGTATTCCAAAAGTTAGTTTCTCATTTATAGGCCTTCACTGTACATGACTTGTAAATTTTAATATTACAGTACTTTTTAATTTTGATATTTTTTTTTTTTTTTTTTTTTATATTCCAGGAAATTTGGCTGCTGATGATATAGGGTCATCTGTTAGAAATATGAATGATCCTTATGGCAATGAACCTAGGAGACATATAGCACTGAAGCCTTCCTCCAAGAAACCTTTTAATGCAGAGCCACCTTTATCCCTATTGGTGGACAACCTAATAACTCCTAAGTACAGTATTTACTTACTTAAGTCATTGTTTATTTATTTACTTAATATATCTGTATAATTACAGTTTTCACTACCTTTAGTGAATATACTGTATTGTGTTTTTATTTGAGACATAATTATAGATATGCCAGCACCATTTTTAAGGTGCTAAATTTGTTTAGTGAAATAACTCTATTTTGGACTTGTCACTTTTTACTGTAATGTCTGTTCCACATGGGAACAAGCAACTATTTTATGTGTAGAGAGGACAATGAAAATTATCTTAATTTTATGAAATAATTCTTCATGAAACTTTTTGCATGAGTGCATGCTTGAAGTATGTGCTTCAAAATGGTTTTATCATTTTGAATGTTTTCAGAATTATGGCCCTTTGTTTGGTGTGCCACAGCTAGGAATTATTTTCATAAGATGACTGGACTATATTTAGTTTGCCTCTGAATTTGAGTGCTTTTTTACCACCTCACTTCATTTGTATTGGTGTTAGCATTTATGTGTGGACCTTCATATGATATCAACCTCATTATAATGTACACTCATTACAAAAAGTACAGTATAGTCTCGATTTACGCTGATTTGGTTTACGCGTTTGGTCATTTACGCGGCACCTTGCCAGACAGACAATTTTTATTTACATGGTTCATTTCATCATTTACGCGGGAAGCAGCACGGGCAGGGTGCGCACAAGGTCGCCCAGTCAACAAAACATTACCGAATTCTTCACCCGCCACCCACCACCCACCACAGCCAGCCCAAGTCAGTGATAGTGAGGATATGGACTTTGAGGGGTTTGACAAAGAGGCCCTGCAAGCCTCTGTGGTGGATAGTGATACAATTGATACAAGTGATACAGGTGATGGCCAATAATCTGCCTTCTGCCTCGGAACCAACCCCCCATCCCCGTGTGCCCAGCCATCTTTTCTACTAACATAAGTGTTAAAATACCTAATATTATTGATATTTCTCTTAAATATTAATTGTGTGTGCATACCATCATAAAATTAAGATGTATTTTTTACTACAATGGACTATTGTGTCGGAAAAAGTGTAGTTTGGGGGTCGGCCCAGTCTCTATTTCAATTAATCCCATATGTTCTATTATTTCGTTTACGCGTTTCTCGTTTTACGCTGATCTCCACGGGTTCAATTGACCGCGTAAATGAAAACTATACTGTACTGCAAAATTTTTTGCTGAACAATATGACAAAGGATTTTGACAACCTAACCAAGACAGCAGGAGTTGCAGTGTTCATTTTGAAAATCATCGGACCCCTTTATGGTATTACTGTATGCTATATGACACACCGGACAAAGAAATCTGAACACCACCAGTTTTATGTATTCCTGTTAATTTCTATTTATTAACTACATGATATACAGAATACATTGTATTGGTTACACAATGCATCACTTAATCAGAAGTATCAACCTTAACAAATGAACATGTCCTCAATCAGTGATCGTTGCAAAGGCCATCAGACCAAGGGGTGCAGAAATTTTTTTTGTTGACTGTACCTCCCCTTCCCTCATTCCATCTCAAGGTAATGCACAAAGACGGATACTGTACTCGATAGTTGTTCTATACTGTACAGTATTACGTGGTTGTTTTTCTGGCTTGTCTGGGTGATATCTCGGACTCTTTTTTTTTGTGTTAGGACATTGAAAATTTGACACATTAGTGAACAAGTGCTTCGATAAAAAATTTATCTTATATTTTGTTCTTGGCATGACAAAAGGGCAGAGTATAGGTATACAGTACTTCGAAACCACTGCCCTAATAACTGTCACTTCGCATAACCGACAATAACATTTAGTGGAAATACCTCGGAGATCCAACGATCAGGAGAGGAGCGGCAGAACTGTTTTACCTGTAGTTCCCCTTGAGCTGGGATACTTGATGTGGTGTGATAAGGTGTAATAAAACTGATGATGGACCAGCAAAGAGTGGTAGAGACTTGAACTTGCCACTCCTGACCATATCTACCATCTCCAACATAGGTAAATAAGTCTCAATTTATGCTTTGCCTTGCTTATTTAAGACTTTTTATCCTTGCTTTATATATCTATGTCTGCTTTATTTTGTTGCTTGAGAGTAAGCATGACAGATATATCAAAGGTAGATGTGAATTTATGGAGGGTGGCCAGTCCATAACCCTCTGAATTTATGTTCTTATGGGATTAATTGCTTCAATAATGTTGATTCACTAACCAACTACTTTTCCCGGTCCCTTTATGCGTCAGTAACTGGGGTACACGTGTACCTCTTTCATTCTTTTAATACTATATCTTAGTTTCAAAGGATTTACTGTATAGCTGTAGCATTCCCTCATCCATTTTACTCTTCATACCATTTATAGGTATATCAATCATATGAAGCCTTTAAGGAATTTTTACCACATGATTATAAGGGAGATGTTATTTGTGAGGAAATATATACACATTATCATTACTGTAGGTATCGTGTCCAAGAGAAATTGTGTGATTAAACCTACTGTACCATGAACAAGGTGGTAGTATGTATAACACAATCATTATTATAAGTATAGCTTCTGTCAGCCATTCTCTGTACAGTAATACTATATCACTTCTCACAACATATAATTAAATCTTTGTGCAGGTCCATCTGATTGGCGTGTAGGTTTTTGGTACATAGCTCTATATTGCTCACTATAGTGCTATCTCAAACTAAATATCTTCTCTCCTTTGCACAATTAAACAGGATTTTTAATTGGGAAAATAAAGTACAGGAGAGGGTATATAACCATCTCTGTAGGGTATTGAATTGTTTGAGTGTGTACAACATACAGCTTAGTATTATCGCACGGTGAATTTGACCATAAATTAAAAAGCTTGTAAATGTTGATAACTTAGATAGAGCACAATATTTTCAGTGGCCTGTTTTATGTGCGGAATCATCTCCCAGTACCTGAAATTGATGCAGCAAATTATGAATTAGAGATATGTGATGAAGGGGCTAAGAAAGAGAAGACCTTGACACTTGAAGATATCAAGAAGTATCCCAAAATCACCATCACAGCTACTATCCAGTGTGCTGGTAACCGCAGATCAGAGATGACTAAGGTGTGGGTTACATTTCATTTCATAATTGTTGTTTCAAAATTGTAATTGTTTGTCATTTATGTAATTACAGGGATTGTAAAAGAAGAAAAGTGGGTTGAATTACCATAATAGTGTTTTAGGGGTAGGACATAAAATAACAGGTGTACAGTATGCTGTAAAGTAAAAAGCGGTGGATTGGGTTTAATGTTAGACCAGCAGCCACAAATGACAGGTATAGTAGTCTGTGTAGTTGAATATGATGTGACTTGGACAGATGGTGGTTGAAAGAGGCTGGACTAGGAAATCAGACTAGGGTAACTGGGAACTTTGAGGCAACAGTGAAGGTGGATAAGCAATTACAGGTATCCCTAGTTATATGAATGGGTTAGGTTCCAGAAAACCCATTCGTTAAGTGAATTTTCATATAATGAATAAAAGAAAATATGGGAACATAAAAAACCCTACTTAACTAATGATAAATAGTACATTAATACTATAACTACCTAACACATTAAATATATATATATATATATATATATATATATATATATATATATATATATATATATATATATATATATATATATATATATATATATATATATATATATATATATATATATATATATATAAATTATTGTCTCGAAAGGAAAACTATGCAAATGTTAACACAGTTGCCATTTGCATAGACCCTAGCAGCGTGGCCTCAAACCTCGCCAGCCACCCAGTCCAGCTGTGGATACTCCCACTTCTGATGCATAGCATCCCCTTCCCACTCTAACACATAAAGAAATATGTATTCCCTTTGTCTTTTGACCTTACGATAGTTATTTCTTTTTTTCTTTTCTGTCACATTATATATGTAGGATTGTGTGTGTATGTAACTGAGTAAAAAAAAAAAGTGAAGCAAGTTATGTACCTGAAATTACGAGTTGAATAATAGCCAAAGCAAACTTCCCCCAGCTCATCCTGCTGACTTGCTGGTGCACAAAGAAATGTTTATTCTTTTATGTGTTTGACCCTATAATTTTTTTTCACATTCTGTATACCTGTATAAGATTGTGTGTGAATGTAACAGAATACAAAAAAATATGAAGAAAGTTAGGTTTATCTGCCAAAAATTACGAAATGAAAATAACCAAACAACTTCTATCTCGGGCTGGTAGGGAGAGCGTTAGAAGGGATGTGGCCGCCCCAGCTGACTCCCGAGGGCACACGATTTGAATTTTTGCCCCAAATTCGTATAAGCGGAGGAAGCTTTTGTAAAAAAAAAAAAAGATGGTAATTTTGGAAATTCGTAGAAGCGAATTTTCACATCTCGAGCATTCGTGTAGCAATGGATACCTGTATGTACAAAAACCTGAAGGGTAGAAATTTTAGTAATTTTCATAAATTGTTGATATTTTTAAAGATGGACTACTGTACAGTATTTTAGTCATTTTGTTTGTTTTATAATTTATTGTTTGCTTGTCCTCTAGAAAGACAGCATAAAGAATACAGCTCATAGCTGACATTGAAGGTATGTTCAGAAATGTTAATTTAAACAACTCAATCTGACATTTTTGCACGCCCATGTCTGACAGGAAGTGTTGATTATTCTTCATATTGGGTAACTCTTTATCGAGTTAACCCTCTCACTGGCTGATGACAACTTGCATTGCAAAGAACCTGACAGTTACTTTTACTTTTATCCTCTTCGCCACTGATCGGCTTGTTAGCCGCTTGGGCGATCGGTCACGTCTCTTTTCATTTATATTCTTCACCAAAAGATCGGCTCGCTAGCCGCCTGGGCGATCGGTCACGTCTGTGTCACGCACTGTTGGCAAATACTGGGCATGCACCGGCTCCTGAATGTACCTGAACCCGCTCCAGTGTTGGTCAAATCTTCTCTTGAAAGAGCTCACACTCGGTGCCGTCACAACACTCTCTGGTAGATTGTTCCAAGAGTTTACAACCCTTCACCTGGAAAGCTTAGTTCGTGCTGGACTTGCGTTTCACCTGAGGTTGTTACTTTAGAGCGAGGCCCCGCTGCCTAAGTAAGTGACACCTTAACTGTAGGTGCCCTGAGAGCGCAGAGTATACACCTCAACTAGTTCCTGTCCGCCTTGTAAGTATAAGTAGGCAAGTCGCTTCCCAATCTTCAGGGTAGCTGAGGTGTCAAGGCAGGCACCAGCTTGGTGTCTCCCCTTTTTGAACATTAACTAACTGGACAGTCCCTAAAGCATATCTTCGGGGGACTAGATGGGGTGACAGTACTCCAGATGGGGAAAGGCACCCTGAAGATCACAAGGCCAATGAGGGACGGACCAGCTCAGATATCTGGAACGACCTTCTTATAAGACCCAATAATTTATTTGCCTGATTTACCTTCTTCACAATGCCCTCAGCTCATTGTCAACATACACACACCTAGGGTCCTTCTCACACATGTCTCCAATTCAGTATTTTCTTCCATCCCGCTGGGACATATGATACCTCACTGCTGGCACGCCTCCAGGTATCTCACACTCAGACATTGAATCTCGTGTTTATTTCTTCTCGACCATCTTGAGCCTCCACAGGAGGTCCTTCTGCAGCCTTCAGTCCCGCTTTTGGTTCTAATTTCTGAATGCACATCATCGCAAAACATTTTGGTATGGAGGAGTGTAATAAACGCTTGGGGCATGTTACGTAGAACAAAACAAACAAATGTTTTTATTTAATATTAATTCTACTGCAATTTCCACTTGTTACAGGTACAGATGACGATTTCGTTATTAATCACCACATTACTGCTTGGGTAATACCTAGAAAGCTCCTTCTATCCACGCTTAGGACATTTCCTGGACTTCCGCATTCTTCCAGTTTGATTTTCAGCCTTCGTAAGGGCGCCTGCCTCAAGTTTTCCTTGGCAAAACGTAGTAAATATTATTGTCTATATTACCAATTCGCTTCTAGAATATGGGTCCAAATATCCAATAATAATTTTGAGCAATTGTGTTAAGAAGAGCTTCCAAGTAAAACAGTGGTTAAAATCTTTTGCTGTTGTTTCAGAAGCAGATGTTCCAGGATCATGCATCTCTGGGATAATACCTGGCATTTACATATTATGCTGAATAGTCTTCACCTGTCTATAGTTGAATTGGGTGAAGTGACTATCGCTTTCAAGATAGGACTACATAAGCTTACTTCCATTCATTGGGGACCATTTATTCATCCAGGCTTACAAACAGAATTCCTGTGGGCTCTGTGCCTGCACAACCTCTCGCACTCTAGGAGTGCACCATGTCAGGTCCGGGACTCTTGTGACCTTTTTAGTCACAGTTTATTTCTAATACCCTTCAGAAATCACTACCGGTCAGTGCTGTGTCGAACTGTTTGTCCTCAAACGAGAAGGTTAAGGCATCCTCTTAGAACACTGAGGAAAGCAGCTTGTTCAATGCCTTCGCTTTTATCCTGGTCAGAATCTATGAATCACCATCTTCGCTTCAGGTCTGATAATTCTACTCGTTTTCACTCTTGACTTTATTAGCGGTAAAACGCTTTTTGGCTTCACCCTGACTACAGGTAACCAGCTTCTGAACTCCTTTTTTCAGCCCTCCCCACACTTACTTTTGCTTGTTTCTTGGCTCTTATTGCCATCCTCCTGTCTTGTTTCATCGCTTGACCCAACCCACGCCTGAATTTCTGGTTTTCTTCTTAATTTTTGTCGACCGCTGCATGGTTCGCGGGATCTCTTCAGATTCCCAGAAGCACTGGGCTTATTCTTGGGTATATATTTATCGATCAAATGTCATTTTACTAGTTATGATATTCATGTAGTGTTCATGCTTGTACCTAATAGTCAGGCCAGTTGATAATTCCCCTCATCTCTTCCCCCTCATCCCATTGTAATTTCCCTGTAATATTTTGGCACCTTGGCCTTGGCTACCTTTTATCTTGAACTAGTAACAGTTTAAATCTGAACACTGGGACCGTATGGTGACTGGGAGCTAACTGGGGGCAAATTTTAGTTTGGCCACCATAATCTCTCCTCGCTTGTTACATGAGGTCAAGGGCTTGGGTGTTTGCTCCCCTGTACGTGTCGGGTCTCTCACTGTTGGAACAGAAAATTATCTCTGTGAGTTTCTACAAAAGAAAGTAGCAGGATTATTTCAAGTCATTCAGGGTGGACTCTGCTTTCTCCAGTCGACAAAGTCGCCATAGTTAAAGTCCCCATGATAAGGAGTGTGTATGGGGCTGGCATCGGCCGATTGTTTATTACGTTCTTAAGTTCTTTGATTTGGTGGGCTGCCAGCTTGGGGATCTGTAGGATACAACTTTACGATAAGTAAGTCCTCCCTTTAACGCATCTCTACAATCAATTTGACTCTTCTAAAACATCCTCCTGTTACCTCACTTGCTGGGTTTCTAAGGTCTTGCCTACGAGATAACCACACCCTCTGCAGGATTCTTGAAAGTAGGTTCAAATGAGCTCATCCAGCAATACTGAACCTCTACATTCCTCTGTCGATTCTCCTGTTCTTGTACAACAGTTTTGCCAAATTCCTAATATATGGTTGGTGTACTCTTAGTAAGTGTTTCCAAACTCCTCTCTCTCTTATCAAGGAACGCGGTCAGTATTAGTGTACATGACATTCGCTTTCAGAATTTTGTTCTCGGTAACGCTCTCTGCTCTAGTAATAAACCCCGCCCACCCAGATTCTGTGTAGCTGGAAAGCATTTGCTAAGTACACTGTATTTTGGTGCAGGGTGGGTTAGGAATGTCATTGCTTATGGCACGGCGCTCTCCCTGTCCGGTAGGCTGAGCTGGTGCTTCTCCGGTGGGGGTGCACTGCTGCCCCCTGGCCCTGTGTCACAATAACTTGGTTTCCACTCACCTTCCCTGAGCAACCCATGCAAGGCCCTGCCTCGACCTCCTCTTCTGTTTCCAAGTCCGCAGGAGTTTCTGCTGTTCTCTGTATTACTGCAGTGGTCTGGTGAATACATCCCTGAATGCTCGCTTCCTCTTGCTAAGTTTTGCCCGTCAATAATCCTATTATCTCTCAATTCCTTTAGTGTGTGATCCCTCAAAGCAGGCTTAGTTCTTGTTTTGTCCCAGCCTCCCCCACATCCTGAGGGGTTGCTGAATCTTCTAGAACCCCGGTAACATTTTGAACGGCACTTGTCGTGAAAGTTTCTCGCTTCACAGTTCCTCCGCCTGGCTCTCGACTCCAAAACTATTACATTGTTCCTGCTTGAGTCAGTTCTTGGTGTTCTCCTCCTCTTCCCCAACAGTAGGTCCGCACTTTTATTTTCGACACACTTTTTCGGAAAGTCCCAATCTGCTGTAGAACCTGTACTGATCTTCAGAGCGAGCCCCCTGTGGCCTCCCACACGCCAGCATAACTCCCTAGCAACTAATCTATTCTATTAGCTACTTTCTGTCTTAGTAAGGATCTTTCCCAACTTGTCTAGTTTGCTCTAACCAGAGGGCTCCTGCTCATCTATTTTCGTCCCTAGAGAACCGTTCTTTATGATTAAAATGCTTTATTCACTCTCAATTATGTGAAAGAAAGAGCAATACCAGCAACACATCATGCTTTACGGCAGTTAGTAACTTCCCAAACGCTAGTATTGCTAGGCGATCTCTATATCCGACGCTCCCTGGTAATCACATAACAACCTTATGGTTATATATAGGTAGACTTTGTATAAATCTACACCTATTTCAAAAAAATAAAGAAAGAAAAAGTACTTAGCTACTCTCTGTTGCCTATAGAGTTGTCGTCTGCGACTGCGTACACTGTATCTCCCTGTGAATGGTGTATTGTAGGCACAGTTTCAGTCCTTGAGAAAGCACACAATCAAAATAAAATTTAAAGTCTCTGTGGCACCTATGACACGACTTGGTTTCAGCTGGCACGGTGCCTTTCCAGCTTGCTTGCTAGTGAGCGCTCACTTTAAGTTATTTACAACTTCAGCGGTCACTGATGACACTATGAACTATCACTGTGTACACTGTATCTCCCTGTGAGTGGTGTATTATAAACACAGATTCAGTCCTTGAGTAAGCACACAAACAAAATAAAATTTAAAGTCTCTGTGGCACCTATGACACGAATAGGCTGGCAGTTGTCCTTACCAGCTCGATTGCCAATATGTATTCACTTTAAGTTATTTATAGTCTCTTCTGCATTCACTGATGACAACTATGAACTGATTTAACTGAAGGCACAGTACTACACTCCCTGGTTGGCCTTTATCACAGCCGTGACCACAACACCCTAAAAAATAAAATAAAATAAAAGCTTTGTCATGTGGCAGTGATTGTGTGGTTATAGGCCTGTGACCCTGGCTGTACCTCCAACTCGGTGGAAATTGAGTTTTCAAAAATACAATCGTGTCTAGCATGAAAAGTCCTACATCGATTTACACTTTCACCTCACTCAGACGATCTTGACGAACTTATGTAATCACTGTCCAATTTCTGCCGCTCTACATCGAAGGCCCGAATGCCGAACACGCTTTGTTACAGAGACGCAACACGACCCGCCCGCTAGACCCTTCCTGCCCACTAATCTTGGGTAAAGCCATAAAACCTTACATCATGCACAGCCCACCTAACTACTAATGTACAGTACAGGTAGTTCTGCTATAACGCGATAATTGTGTTCTTGTAAAATATCGTGTTATAGAAAATCGCGTAATAGAAATAACAGGGCTTATGGAGAAAATAGGGTTAGGTGCAGATTACTCGAAATCGAAAAAATTTAGTATTTAGCCTAACACAAAGGATAGCACAGTCTAAATAAATGTTACATTCATATCTAATAATGAAATCATACAGTAAATTTAACACTTTACCTTGAAAAAATATGAATGTAACTTGATGGGGGAGAAGGGTGATTTTGAGGTTGATAACATTGAGCTTCTCTTCAAGTGTTATATCCTTTCTTTTACGATAATCACCGGGAATTCTATCATCAGAGCGCTTTTTGGAGATATTCTTCTTTACCATATTCACAGTTAATACCACAAAATTGGAGAAATAGTAAGCAAAAATCGCGTTATAGCAAACAAGCGTTCGCGTTATACAAATATTGTTCCGAATTCATAAATCGCGTTAGAGCAAATTCGCGTTATCAAAACACGCGTTATAGCAGAACTCCCTGTATATAAATTACTCAGATTTTTTTGTGTACTTATATTCCTGAATGAAATTTTTTTTTACGTGTACAGTAACGAGTAATCATAAAATGGGAAAATTAATTTTATATTTTATTAACACTTTTTTACTTAAAAAATGTCTTCTGTATCGTATTTTTTATATGATACAGAAGACATTTTTAAAGTAAAAAAGTGTTAACAAAATGTTAAATTAATTTTCCCATTTTATTATTTCTCATTACTGTACATGTAAATATAAATAGCATTAATTGAGAGCACCTTAAACTATGGATGATGTACCCTGTGGGTCAAGTGTGGGGAGATACTACTGCGTCATCAGCCAACACGGGGGTGAGATTTGTCCAACTGTCCGTAATGCATAAAACTGGATATCTCGGTATATCCTGGTATACCAGTCGACTTTTGAAGCTAAAGATTAATGCTCAGTAATGGGACAAGCTTTAATTGACTGTACAGTAGGTAATACAAATATCTGTGCATACTTTGTGGGAAACAATATGACACCATGGACGATAAATTTTGGTATAGAGGGCTGTCACTAGTCACGTAAAATTTCAGAGCATATCGACCCCTACCAGCACAGATAGTTGTTTTAGCTACTGTACAGGTATAGTATTAACCCATAGATGGTCAATTAATTTAACCTCAGTCGTGCCTAATTGATCAAAGATTTTCCACATTATTTTTATTGCCTAAAACAACCCCATTGGATGCCCCAAAGTCACATGGTAACAGTGAAAAACTCACCTATAAGCTCCTTACCTGGTTTAAATGTCCTGGGCAGTTGTGTGTTGCCATGCATGTTAGTACATAGCTAGACATGGAGTTCACATTAATGATCAGCATTTTGAGGGTAGAGTTAAAGGACAAGTATTGGCCTGAACATGATTATTGAGTTGAAAATTCAAAAGTTGACTAATGCACCAGATCAGAGATCACCAAACTTTTTTCACAGTGGGCCGGATAACTGAAAGAATGACGAGCGCGGGCCGCATAATCATTCAGTTCAATACTTGCAAGCCAGAACGAAAGCTCTGGTAACGTCAGAGTGTAGGCGGAGCTACCACGAGCCGGGGAAGGACTTGGGATCCGGCCCGCGGGCCGTAGTTTGGTGACCCCTGCACCAGATCAACTTGTACACTAGTACTGTATTCAGTATATACATTATGTACAGTAACAACTTCTATTCTATGTCTTTCCCAACATTTACTCATTCTTGCCTGTATCTTGTACTGCAAAGTTCCCTCTTGATCAGTATACCATCCATGTATTCTGAGAGAGTATTGATTGTTTCTTCAATTCTCTTAGGTAAAACCAGTGAAAGGGTTGAGTTGGGGTCAGGCTGCCATTGGAAATGCTACTTGGAGCGGCGCACGTCTTTGTGACGTGCTGAAGGACATGGGCATTGAAGATGGTAAAACTGATGCTTTACATGTGCAGGTTTGTTTGCTTGTGTTTGCTGTAATATTTCACTTGACATACTGTATAATGCAGATAGTAAGTTTTTATTTAACCCTTATGCACTACTTTAGAATATTTGGTAGTATTTATTGTGTAGAAAACTCTAAAGTTTTTATATTTTCTCAAATTTGTGTTTAAAGTAGGCTGATTTATATAATGTTACTTAAAAAACAGTAAGATCTCTAGTAACAGTATTTATTAGTGTTCATTGTGTCTATTTATAAGAGAATATTGAATGTCCATAAGGCTAAATGATCCTTTTGTGATCCACATGACGCTAATAACTTCCAAAAGACCGTATAGTGACCCGTATGACTGTTTAGTGATCCACGTACCTTATGCTGTAGTAATCTACATGATCCAGATGATGCCTTAGCAATGCATGTGATATTTTAGTGATTTATTCTGCTTGCCATGCCAGTGTTCCAGTTAATCTTTTGTGCATCTGACCAATATCATGGACATTTTGAAGCCATGCTCACTTGATATTAGGGGATATTCTGAAGTCAATAGTAAATAAAAAAATGCCTGAGTACAATACAGTTACTGCATTAAAGAAAAAGTACTGAAATTTTCTGGACCCCCAGGACACCCCTTCGATCCGCCCTTGCTATTAAAATGTCAAGTTAGCTATTCATAAGGCCCTCTGGTGCTTAGTGAATTAGTGAACTTTATTAAAATAATTAGATATATATACAGTACCGTATACCGTATATAATATATATATTTTTTCAGTTTGAAGGTTTGGACACTGATCCTGCCAATATGCCATATGGCTCAAGCATTCCCATTGAGAAAGCTTTAAATCCCCATGGAGATGTTATCCTAGCCTACGAGATGAATGGAGAACCTATTCCCCGGGACCATGGGTATCCACTAAGAGTTATTGTACCAGGCGTTGTTGGAGCTAGAAATGTGAAGTGGCTTGGTGAGTTTCTTGAAGGTTCAAAATGATTGCTTCTGTCATTAATAAAACACACTGCTTTTGATATGATTTTGTTTTGCACAGGATATCCTTGAACATTTTGGGACCATAGTAAATTCACAACATAGCATAAATATGAGCATTATGTAATGTATATATTTATAGTGTACATCTGGTACTAAGCCACCATCATTAAGCACTTTCCAATAGTGCTTGGTTTGGCAAGTTATTAATTTTGTGAAAGCTAGAACTTGGATTTGGACCATTCAACCAATATAACAAATTATCACACGTAGTTGCAAATAAAAATATTTATGCAAATTGAGGGAAGCACATACTATTGTACAGTACTAGGATTTTCTTTTATTTATTTTTTATAACAATATGTATAATAAACATTATCCCCCCAATACTACTGATGCCTTTAGTAGCCATTTTTAGAATTAATTTTCTAGATATTTTTGAATTCTTAGTTTTTTTTTTATGGGTACCGGTAAGTAATACACATGGGCACCAGATAGAATTTTGATTTTATATGCTATTATTCTGCAGCCTTTCACCACTGGCAATTAGGTCAGCACTTAGTTTGCTCAGGTACCCCGATAACCTTTTAGTGATATTTGACCATCTTCGAGGAACTTCTAGTGTTGGAAAATTTATATGTTATGGAGGGATGTTATGGTAGATGTTCTCAGCGGTGACATAAGATTTTATGTTTGTTTAATATAACTAACATATGCATGTAGTTATCCCATTGATAAAATTGTAATGTGGAAGTAGAGGAAAGGTTTTGAAGTTGAAAGGCCACATACTTAAGTGTCACTGCAAGCTCTATGCCTACAGTTTGGTGGCCACAGTGCTGATGTAAGTGATCATCATTCAGCCTTGAGTGAAGTTTGACTGATTTTGTTTCATCCTTCAAAGGGTCTTTTCACAGTTACAGGTGTTCCCAAAAAGCAGTAAGTTTCCTTAAATTAGGGAATGTTGAGTCCAAAAAGCATAAAATTTGATCAGATTGCTGGTATTAAAGTCATCTTTGATTGCAAGTAAGCCAATTCCAAGAGGTAAATTTCTGATGATTTGTATATTTCACTTTCAATGACCAGGGTAGTGAGGGGTCAGATGCAATCCACAGACTGAAGTTTGCCAACCACTGGCCTACACATTTGATCTATCCAGTTTATAATGTGTACATTTTTGATGGTGCTCCCTGCACTATATAACTGTTTAGGTTTTGTGCTTTGGGAAATAGTAAATTTTGGGGGTTTTAACGGTGACAAAAAGTTACTAAAGAAAATTCGATCATAAACAAAAATACTGTATATATTAAGTTTAATCATTATTTTGATTTCAGGAAGAATAATTGTGTCAAAAGAGGAGTCTGATGCACACTGGCAACAAAATGACTATAAAGGCTTTGCACCAAGTGTAGATTGGGATACTGTGGACTTTAAAAAGTCTCCTGCAATCCAGGAACTGCCTGTTATATCTGCAATATGTGAACCATCAGAGGGAGAGAAGGTCAAGGTTGTAAATGGCAAAATCAAAGTAAAAGGTAGGTCACAGATTATAGTTTAATCTCTTTGCAATCATTTTTTTTATTATTTATATTTAAATGGTGAAAGCTTATGCCTTTAGTTATTTTTATTTCTTTGTTGCCATTGAAGGTAAATTGACGCTTATAATTTATAATGGTTATTCCTCAATTTATGGAGCCTTGATTTATGAAATTTCATAGTTATGATATTTGAAAATTGTGAAACAATTTCCATATACAGTACTGTACAGAGTAAAATTTTGTAGTTGTTTCTATGATAAACAATAAAATCAATACATAGCATAGTACTGTATCATACAATACAGTACAATAGAACATATTTTATGTACCGGCAAATAGCGCCTTTGACACTCAAAAAACATCCTCTGGGCAATATGACACAATTCAGGCAGTCAACCAGCTGACTCACAGACATGTGGCTGCCGCGCTGGCTGTGTGTATGCAGTGACATCACATCAGGTGGAAGTGCGGCCATGCAATTATAGCCCATTTAACCCACAGCCTCAACACGCATTCACTTCCCACATATACACACTGATGCTCTTCTTTTTTTCTTTTATATATACAGGGTACAGTAATATCTCCGTTAGCCGGAATCCCTCAAACCCAGAACTCTCCGATAGCCGGAATTTAAATTTTCTCGGAAAATCCTTCCCAAAGCAGGAAATTTCCAGAAAATTTCGGCTTTGGGAACAATTTTCCGGGGGCACATTTTCTGAAAAATTCTGAGAAAATTTTCCTGACGCTCAGAAAATTCTGGGGATGGGGGAATTTTTTTCCGGGTTTGAGAGATGAAAATGAGGCTCATTTTCTGGAAATTCCGCGAAAAATTTTCCCTTACCCGGAAAATTCCGGGGCTGAGGGATATTTTTCCAGGTTTGAGAGATGATGTAATGGGCAATTTCTGGAATTTCCAATAACATTTTTCCGTTAACCCCCAAAATTCCGGGGATGAGGGATTTTTCTGGCTTTGAGAGAGTCGTCTCGTTACCTGGAAATCTCTCATTCCCGGAAGTGCTCTGCATCAATTGTTCTGGCTAACGGGAATATAACTGTATAACATTTTTCTTTAGGATATGCATGGAGTGGAGGTGGAAGAAAAATTATTCGAGTTGATGTTTCTGGTGACGGAGGCAAAAATTGGCAAGCAGCTGATGTGTTGGAGTCTGATGGATCACGCCACCCTAAAGCTTGGGGCTGGACTATATGGACTGCAGAAGTACCTGTCCATGGTAAGGAGTCTGAAGTGCAGCTGTGTGCCAAGGCTGTTGATTCACAATACAATACACAGCCAGAAAACTTTGAGAACATATGGAACCTCCGAGGAGTTTTAGCCAATGCTTATCACAGAGTTAATGTTAAGAAAGGAAAGTAACTGTGGTATGTCTAATAGTTGGTACTCTTGCAATCACTCTGCATCATAGTAGAAGGCTTTTGTCAATGCCTTGTAGAAGAAAATTATTAATGACACTGAAATACTGAAAAATAATTATTTAAAACTCTGGAATTATAGGAATTATTATTTTCAATTTCATTATAATTGCTCTAACAGAGAGTTTTTGATAAGCAGAGGTATGTAAGTTTTTTAACCTCTGTTTCAATGAATTATTCTTAACATTGGTGCAATCACTTTATTATGTTCTTTTATAATTGATGTCAGGTGTCCTCAAAGATAATGGTGAGGGGCATCAAATCTGAACTGAGTGAGGGTTATTTTATTGGTCCTCAATATCCCATGCATCTCAAAAGTATCATAAAAAAAAATGTTGATTTCAGACTTTTCAATCACCCTATACAATGCATTATATCAGTACAGAAATGTGGCAATATTGTACCTTAAGATTCTTTTAAAATTTATGTTTAATAATACAGTACTCCTGTACAAGTATCCCTCACGACACCAACCTTCGTTTACACAACTACTGTACTGTATTCTGTTCGTACACCTCTTTCTCACCAATATACAAAAGCTATGGTCTCTTAAGGTAATGTACCAAATTTATATTTAATTAATTTCTTAATGTGCCAGGTGCTAAATTACAGTAATTAGGTACACATTTACAGTGGTTAGGTAGTTATCTTTTTGAAAACTGATGTAATTTGTTTTAGGTATACTGTACATTGGGGGTTTAAGTCTTGTAATTTGTTACTAAACTACAGTGATTAGGTTCTAATTTACAGTAGGTAGGTAGGATTTTGTTGCTTGTGAATCTAATATTGAGGTTTTCTTTTCATTGGGGAACCAAATCTTATTTTTTTCCATATGTTTTAGTGTTTTATATACGAATATTCACAAAACTAATGGTTTTCAAGAAACTTAACCAGTTCGTATAGTGAGGGATACCTAAATTACAAAGTCGTTTTAAATATTAATTATAAATAATAATAAAGATTATACTGTGACACTAGAGTCTGCATTGTTTTCCATTTGATACCCCAGTGACCCGAAAATCCAGAGTTTATCAGTCAATCTACTATTTCTTTACATCTAAATTTCCTTGACAAAGTTGATATTGGCTAAGCAACTACATGAATATATTTCAGTTTTCTTCTTAACCTGTAGAGTGACATGTTCTGCCCAAGAAAGCAAGGGCGGATCTAAGGGGGGGGGGGTTCTGGAACCCCCCCTTTTCATCAGAAAATTCTAATTCTTTTCCTTTAATGCAGTATTGTACTCAAGCATTTTTGTAAAGTAAAAAGTAATTACTATTAACCTCAGAATATCTCCTAATATCAAGTATACATGGCTTCTAAATGGCCTCAAAATGTCCACCATATTGGTTAAATTTCAAAAGGAATTCTGGGGGGGGGGGGGGGGCCTACAGCAACCCCAAAAACTCCCCAGTGGGTTTGCTGTGCTTGCCTTGTTGCCCTACCCAAAACTTCTTGCCCCCCCTCCCCATTTGATATTCCTGGATTTGCCCCTGGGTAGGTGGGCTTGTTGCTGGCCATAGCAATATTAGATATAAACAGCCATTATTGTTCAAAGGGATGCACCATTTCCAATTGCTCAAATATAATGTGGCGGTAGTCCTAGTCCTTTCTGCACAGGAAAATTTTAATCCTTAAAAGTGCAAGAAAACCAATAGGATTTCATGGAATAAGGACTACTACAACTAATATCCATATGAATTGGTGCACTAAAGGAAAATATATGATCCAGAATTGCTTTCAAGACCAGACTTGAGTAACATTGAAGCAGGTTCAGATACATTCAGGAGCCAGTACAGTGGTCCCTTGGTTAACGAACACAATTCGTTCCAGAAGGTCGTTCGTTAACCGAAAATTTTGTTATCCGAAACCATTGTTTCAATGGGATTTTGGGTAATTGGTTCCAGCTCACCGAAAGTTACATACAAACTAAAAATAAATGCAGTAAAGTACACTTACTTTGAGCTGTGTATGTAGAAAGCTCCTGGTTGATGATGATGATGGGAATTAGAAGTAGGGGTGGAGGAGAAGGAAGTGGGATGAAAGAGAAATCACTTCATGCTGCCATTTCACCCATAAAATTTTTATTTCACTTGGTGTAATTCAAGATTATTTTCTTTAAATCAACACTGCACTGCACTATATATTGTCAATTTGTAAAATAAATTTCAGAATGACCAATAATTGAACAGTAAAAATGTGAAAATAGTTTATGTTCAAGAGAGTCTCAAGCAAGATGTTTCCTCCACTGAGCAGAGACACAAACTGATGCCATTCTGGGTGAGTAAGTGGCTGTTTGGCGCGCTAAAAACTAGTTTCCTGTACTTCAATTATGTTAAATATTTGTTAAAATGACTAAAAATTTTAATATAAGACCTGGAAAATTATTGAATAGTACAACCTTCTTGATATTTACTCAAATGGTAACGAATTTAAGCCCTAAAACCGATTATTGTATTGATGGACTAATACTCCAGCTGGTGAGCAGGCGAAAACATGTTGACACGATTTCGTAACGATTTCGTTAACTGAGTTGAAGATTCTTATGGAAGGTAATTCGTTAACCGAAATTTCATTAACCGAGGGATTACTGTACCTGCCATCAGTGCGTAACAGAACAGAGACGTAACCAACCCCCTCATGCGGCTAACATGCTGATCAGTGGCAAGAAATAAGCATTGCAAGAAGAATGCATTTACTCAGTCATTGACCAACACTGGCACAGGTACAGATACATTCTGGACCCAGTACTTGCCAATAGTGCGTTGCACACATGACCAACCACCCAAGAGGCTAACAGACTGATCACTGGCAATGAAGATAAAGTAAATTGTAATAAAAATTTTTGGTTACCTCAGGAATCCCCTGGGGAACTCGGGCATCCCCTGATGAACTCGAGCATCTCGTGGGGAATTTTGGCATCTCCTGGGAAACTCTGGCATCCCCTGGGGAACTCGGGCATCCCTTGGGAAACCCAGGCATCCCTTGGTGACCTCATGCATCCCCTGGTGACCTCAAGGATCCCCTGGTAACCTCGGGCTTCCCCTGGGGAACCCATGCAAACCCTGGGGAACTCGGGAATCCCCTGGGGAACTCGTGCATCCTCTGAACAACTCAAGCATCCACTGGGGAACTCGGGCATTCCTCGTGGAACTAGGGCATCCCCTGGTGACTTCAGGGATCCCCTGGGGAACTCAGGCTTCCCCTGTGGAAGTCAGGCTTCCCCTGTGGAAGTCAGAAATCACCTTCAGAACTCAGGCATCCCCTGTGGAACTCAAATGTCCCCTGGGGAAGTTAGGCATCCCCTGGGGAACTCAGGCATCCCCTGGCGACCTCCGGCATCCCTTGGGGTTCTCAGGAATCTCCTGGTGACTTGAAACATCCCCTGGTGACTTCAAGCATCCCTTGGTGAACTCAAGCATCCCCTGGGCAACTCAGGCATCCCCTGGGGAGCAAAGACACCCTCTGGGGAACTGAGGAATCCATTGGGGAATACACTCTTCCTCTGGGGAACTCAGATCATCCCGTGTGGAAATCAGACATCCTCTAGTAAACTCAGGCACCCCCTGGAGAACTTAGGCATCCCCTGGGGAACACAGACATGCCCTGTAGTTCTCAGGCATCTGGTAACCTCAGGCATCCTTTGGTGATCTCAGGCACCCCCTGGTAAATTCAGGCATCCTCTGGGCAAATCTAGCATCCCATGGGTAAGTCAAGAATCACCTGTGTAATGCAAGCATCACCAGGGTAACTCAGGCATCACCTAGGGAACTGAGTCATCCCCTAGGGAGTACAGACACCCCCTGGGGATCTCGGGCATCCCTGGTGACCTCAGTCATCCCCGGTGACCTCAGGCATCCCCCAGTGACCTTAGGCATCCCCGAGTGAACTCAGGCATACCCAGGCATTCTCTGTGTTCCTCAGGCATCCCCTGGGCAATTCAAGCATCCCCCAGGTAAATCAGGAATCCCCTAGGTAACTCGAGCATTCCCTGGTTAAATCAAGAATCACCTGTGTAATGCAGGCATCCACTGGGGAACTGAGGCATCCCATGGGGAGTGCAGACACCCCCTGGAGGACTGAGGAATCCATTGGGGAAAACATTCCTCTGGGAAACTCAGGCATCCCCTGGGGAACTCAGGCATCCTCAGAAGAACTTGGCATCCCCTGGGGTTCTCAGACATCTGGTGACTTCAGGAATCCCCTGGTGAGCTCAGGCACTTCTGGGAACTAAGGCATCCCTTGGTGAACTCCGGTATCCCCTGGTGAACTCGGGCATAGCCTGGGCAAATAAAGCATTCTCTGAGAAACTCAGGAATCCTATTTGTAACACAGGCATCACCTGGGGTACTCAGGCATCATCTGCAAAACTCAAACATCCCCTGGGGTATTCAGGCATCCCTTGGGGAGCTCAACAATTCCCTGGGAAGCTCAGGACCCCTGAGTAAATTGGGCCTCTATAATGGCTATAAGGGGTGCCACAACCCCTGTCAGGGCACCTGGGGACTCCGCCATCCCTGGAAGGGCCGCCTGGAGGCGCCGTTGGCCCTGGGAACGCCGCTGCCCCCTGGGGGTGCCACCGCCCTTCAGAGGTTCCCTGGGGGCACCACCACCCCTAGAAGGGCCAGTGGGGGCGTCACCGCCCTTGGGAGGGGTCCTGGCAGCGCCAACGCCCCTGGGGGCGTCGCACCTGGGAAGATCCCATGGGGCACTGTCACTGTAGTGTCCCTGGGGCAGTTGCTTTTGCATAATTAGAACAATAGGATATATGAATAAATACACCGCCCATCGCATTTCCAGTATCATCGCATCATGAACAATGTAAAGGAGAATAAATATCCAACAAGAAAACATAAGTTAACGTGTTGTGCTGACTGACTATTCTGTTCTCCTATTGGTTGTTATTTGGTGGATTTACATTTTAGTCCACCAATCACAGGCAAGTAAGGGATTGCTGGACGCATGCAAAATGTACGACACCACAGCCAAAAGATATAGCGCTCCTGGGAGGGGGCGCCTTTAGTAGGGCCCCTAGAAGGGCCCTGGGGGACCCGCTGCCCCTAAAGAGAAACCCTGGGGGTGCTGCTGTACCTAAGAAGATCCTCTGGGGGCGCCACCTACCATAAAGATTCCCCTTGGGACGCCGCTGCCCCTAGGAGGGCCTCTGGGAGGGTCCCTGTGGGTGCAACCGTCCCTGGGAGATCCCATGGGTATGCCACCACCGTTGGGAGGGCCCCTTGGGGCACCTGGCAGCGCCGACACACCTGTGTGAGCCCCTGGGGGCAACGCACTTGGTAGGTCAAATAGGAGGGTCCCAGGGGGCACTGTAACTGTAGGGTACCTGGAGGCAGTTGTTTTTGCACATTTAGAACAATGGGATATATGACTAAATACACAGCCCATCGCATTTCCAGTATCAACACTTCATGAACTGTAAAGGAGAATAAATATCCAGCAGGAAAACATAAGTTGGGGGGGTTGCTGACTGACTGTACTGTTCTCCTATTGGCTATTTTGGTGGATTTACATTTTAGTCCACCAATCACAGGCAAGTAAGGTTTTGCTGGACGTATGCAATATGTACGACACCACGACCAAACGCTATAGGGCTCCTGAGAGGAGGCGCCTCTGGTAGGGCTCCTGGAAGGGTCTTGGGGACACTGCTGCCCCTAAAGAGAGCCTTTGGAAGCGCCATTGTACCTAAGAAGAGCCCTTATGGGCGCCACCTAACCAGAAAGGTCCCTTTGGGACGCCACTGCCCCTAGGAGGGCCTCTGGGAGGGCCCCTGTGGACACAACTGTCCCTGAGAGAGACCATGGGTACGTTACCACCGTTGGGAGGGCCCCTATGGGCGCATGGCAGCGTTGACACTCCTGGGTGAGCCTCTGGTGGCATCGTACTTGGTAATGCAAATTGGAGGGTCCCAGGGGGCACAGTAACTGTAGGGTACCTAGGGGCAGTTTTTTTTTGCAGATTTAGAACAATGGGATATATGAATAAATACAGAGCTCATCGCATTTCTAGTATCATCCCATCATGAACTGTAAAGGAGAATAAATATCCAACAGGAAAACATAAGTTGGGGTGTTGTGCTGACTGACTGTTCTGTTCTCCTATTGGCTGTTATTTGGTGGACTTACCCTTTAGTCCACCAATCACATGCAAGTAAGGGTTTGCTGGACGTATGCAATATGTACGACACCACGACCAAAAGCTATAGGGCTCCTGGGAGGAGGCGCCTCTGGTAGGGCCCTTGGAAGGATCCTGGGGGCACCGCTGCCCCTAAAGAGAGCCCCTGGGGGCGCCGCTGTAACAAAGAAGAGCCCCTGGGGACACCACCACCCCTGAGAGGTCCCCTGGTGGTGTCACTGCACCTGGGAGTGCCTCTCTGAGCGCCACCATCCCTTGGAGAGACCCTGGTTAGGCCACCACTGTTGGGAGGGCCCCTATGGGCGCCTGGCAGCGTCGACACCCCTGGGCGAGCCCCTGTTGGCGTCGCACTTGGTAATGCAAATGGGAGGGTCCCAGGGAGCACTGTAACTGTAGGGTACCTAGGGGCAGTTGTTTTTGCACATTTAGAACAATGGGATATATGAATAAATACACAGCTCATTGCATTTCTAGTATCATCCCATCATGAACAATGTAAAGGAGAATAAATATCCAACAGGAAAACATAAGTTGGGGTGTTGTGCTGAGTGACTGTCCTGTTCTCCTATTGGCTGTTTTGTTGGATTTACATTTTAGTCCACCAATCACAGGCAAGTAAGGTTTTGCTGGACGTATGCAATATGTACGACACCACGACCAAACGCTATAGGGCTCCCGGAGGAGGCGCCTCTGGTAGGGCCCTTGGAAGGATCCTGGGGGCACTGCTGCCCCAAAAGAGGGCCTCTGGGGGCGCCACTGTACCTAAGAAGATCCTCTGGGGGCGCCACCTACCATAAAGATTCCCGTTGGGACGCCACTGCCCCTAGGAGGGCCTCTGGGAGGGTCCCTGTGGGTGCAACCGTCCCTGGGAGATCCCATGGGTATGCCACCACCGTTGGGAGGGCCTCTTGGGGCACCTGGCAGCGCCGACACACCTGGGTGAGCCCCTGGGGGCGACGCACTTGGTAGGGCAAATAGGAGGGTCCCAGGGGGCACTGTAACTGTAGGGTACCTGGGGGCAGTTGTTTTTGTACATTTTGAACAATGGGATATATGAATAAATACACAGCCCATCGCATTTCTAGTATCAACTCTTCATGAACTGTAAAGGAGAATAAATATCCAATAGGAAAACATAAGTTGGGGTGTTGTGCTGAGCGACTGTTCTGTTCTCCTATTGGCTGTTTTGGTGGATTTACATTTTAGTCCACCAATCACAGGCAAGTAAGGTTTTGCTGGACGTATGCAATATGTACGACACCACGACCAAACGCTATAGGGCTCCTGGGAGGAGGCGCCTCTGGTAGGGCTCCTGGAAGGGTCTTGGGGACACTGCTGCCCCTAAAGAGAGCCTTTGGGGGCGCCACTGTACGTAAGAAGAGCCCTTGGGGGCGCCACCTACCCAGAAAGGTCCCTTTGGGACGCCACTGCCCCTAGGAGGACTTCTGGGAGGGCCCCTGTGGACACAACTGCCCCTGGGAGAGACCATGGGTACGTTACCACCGTTGGGAGGGCCCCTATGGGCGCATGGCAGCGTTGACACTCCTGGGTGAGCCTCTGGTGGCATCGCACTTGGTAATGCAAATGGGAGGGTCCCAGGGGGCACAGTAACTGTAGGGTACCTAGGGGCAGTTTTTTTTTGCAGATTTAGAACAATGGGATATATGAATAAATACAGAGCTCATCGCATTTCTAGTATCATCCCATCATGAACTGTAAAGGAGAATAAATATCCAACAGGAAAACATAAGTTGGGGTGTTGTGCTGACTGACTGTTCTGTTCTCCTATTGGCTGTTATTTGGTGGACTTACCCTTTAGTCCACCAATCACATGCAAGTAAGGGTTTGCTGGACGTATGCAATATGTACGACACCACGACCAAAAGCTATAGGGCTTCTGCTGAGTGGGCGCCTCTGGTCGGGCCTTGGAAGGACCCTTGGGGCACCGCTGCCCCTAAAGAGAGCCCCTGGGGGCGCCGCTGTAACAAAGAAGAGCCCCTGGGGACACCACCACCCCTGAGAGGTCCCCTGGTGGTGTCACTGCACTTGGGAGTGCCTCTCTGAGCGCCACCATTCCTGGGAGAGACCCTGGTTAGGCCACCACTGTTGGGAGGGCCCCTATGGGCGCCTGGCAGCGTCGACACTCCTGGGTGAGCCCCTGGTGGCATCGTACTTGGTAATGCAAATGGGAGGGTGCCAGGGGGCACTGTAACTGAAGGTACCTAGGGGCAGTTGTTTTTGCACATTTAGAACAATGGGATATATGAATAAATACACAGCTCATTGCATTTCTAGTATCATCCCATCATGAACAATGTAAAGGAGAATAAATATCCAACAGGAAAACATAAGTTGGGGTGTTGTGCTGAGTGACTGTCCTGTTCTCCAATTGGCTGTTTTGTTGGATTTACATTTTAGTCCACCAATCACAGGCAAGTAAGGTTTTGCTGGACGTATGCAATATGTATGACACCACGACCAAACGCTATAGGGCTCCCGGAGGAGGCGCCTCTGGTAGGGCCCTTGGAAGGATCCTGGGGGCACTGCTGCCCCAAAAGAGGGCCTCTGGGGGCGCCACTGTACCTAAGAAGATCCTCTGGGGGCGCCACCTACCATAAAGATTCCCGTTGGGACGCCACTGCCCCTAGGAGGGCCTCTGGGAGGGTCCCTGTGGGTGCAACCGTCCCTGGGAGATCCCATGGGTATGCCACCACCGTTGGGAGGGCCTCTTGGGGCACCTGGCAGCGCCGACACACCTGGGTGAGCCCCTGGGGGCGACGCACTTGGTAGGGCAAATAGGAGGGTCCCAGGGGGCACTGTAACTGTAGGGTACCTGGGGGCAGTTGTTTTTGTACATTTTGAACAATGGGATATATGAATAAATACACAGCCCATCGCATTTCTAGTATCAACTCTTCATGAACTGTAAAGGAGAATAAATATCCAATAGGAAAACATAAGTTGGGGTGTTGTGCTGAGCGACTGTTCTGTTCTCCTATTGGCTGTTTTGGTGGATTTACATTTTAGTCCACCAATCACAGGCAAGTAAGGTTTTGCTGGACGTATGCAATATGTACGACACCACGACCAAACGCTATAGGGCTCCTGGGAGGAGGCGCCTCTGGTAGGGCTCCTGGAAGGGTCTTGGGGACACTGCTGCCCCTAAAGAGAGCCTTTGGAGGCGCCACTGTACCTAAGAAGAGCCCTTGGGGGCGCCACCTACCCAGAAAGGTCCCTTTGGGACGCCACTGCCCCTAGGAGGGCCTCTGGGAGGGCCCCTGTGGACACAACTGTTCCTGGGAGAGACCATGGGTACGTTACCACCGTTGGGAGGGTCCCTATGGGCGCATGGCAGCGTTGACACTCCTGGGTGAGCCTCTGGTGGCATCGTACTTGGTAATGCAAATGGGAGGGTCCCAGGGGGCACAGTAACTGTAGGGTACCTAGGGGCAGTTTTTTTTGCAGATTTAGAACAATGGGATATATGAATAAATACAGAGCTCATCGCATTTCTAGTATCATCCCATCATGAACTGTAAAGGAGAATAAATATCCAACAGGAAAACATAAGTTGGGGTGTTGTGCTGACTGACTGTTCTGTTCTCCTATTGGCTGTTATTTGGTGGACTTACCCTTTAGTCCACCAATCACATGCAAGTAAGGGTTTGCTGGACGTATGCAATATGTACGACACCACGACCAAAAGCTATAGGGCTTCTGCTGAGTGGGCGCCTCTGGTCGGGCCTCTGGAAGGGCCCTTGGGGCACCGCTGCCCCTAAAGAGAGCCCCTGGGGGCGCCGCTGTAACAAAGAAGAGACCCTGGGGACACCACCACCCCTGAGAGGTCCCCTGGTGGTGTCACTGCACTTGGGAGTGCCTCTCTGAGCGCCACCATTCCTGGTAGAGACCCTGGTTAGGCCACCACTGTTGGGAGGGCCCCTATGGGCGCCTGGCAGCGTCGACACTCCTGGGTGAGCCCCTGGTGGCATCGTACTTGGTAATGCAAATGGGAGGGTGCCAGGGGGCACTGTAACTGGAAGGTACCTAGGGGCAGTTGTTTTTGCACATTTAGAACAATGGGATATATGACTAAATACACAGCTCATTGCATTTCTAGTATCATTCCATCATGAACAATGTAAAGGAGAATAAATATCCAACAGGAAAACATAAGTTGGGGTGTTGTGCTGAGTGACTGTTCTGTTCTCCTATTGGCTATTTTGGTGGATTGACATTTTAGTCCACCAATCACAGGCAAGTAAGGGTTTGCTGGACGTATGCAATATGTACGACACCACGACGAAAAGCTATAGGGCTCCTGCTGAGGGGGCGCCTATGGTCGGGCCTCTGGAAGGGCCCTGGGGGCACCGCTGCCCCTAAAGAGAGCCCCTGGGAGCGCCGATGTACGAAAGAAGAGCCCCTGGGGACACCATCACCCCTGATAGGTCCTCTGGTGGTGCCACTGCACCTGGGAGGGCCTCTCTGGGCGCGACCATCCCTGGGAGAGACTCTGGCTAGGCCACCACCGTTGGTAGGGCCCCTAGGGGCGCCAGGCAGCGCCGACACCCCTGAGTGAGCCCCTGGTGGCGTCGCTCTTGGTAATGCAAATGGGAGGGTCCCAGGGGGCACTGTAACTTTAGGGTATCTAGGGGCAGTTGTTTTTGCAAATTTAGAACAATGGGATATATGAATAAATACACAGCTCATTGCATTTCTAGTATCATCCCATCATGAACAATGTAAAGGAGAATAAATATCCAACAGAAAAACATAAGTTGGGGTGTTGTGCTGACTGACTGTTCTGTTCTTCTATTGGCTGTTATTTGGTGGACTTACCCTTTAGTCCACCAATCACAGGCAAGTAAGGGTTTGCTGGACGTATCAATATGTATGACACCACGACCAAAAGCTATAGGGCTCCTGCTGAGGGGGCGCCTCTGGTCGGGCCTCTGGAAAAGCCCTAGGGGCACCGCTGCCCCTAAATAGAGCCCCTGGGGGCGCCGCTGTGCCAAAGAAGAGCCCCTGGGGGACACCACCACCCCTGAGAGGTCCTCTGGTCGTGCCAATGCACCTGGGAGGGCCTCTCTGGGCACGACCATCCCTGGGAGAGACTCTGGTTAGGCCACCACCGTTGGTAGGGTCCCTGGGGGCGCCAGCCTGGGAGAGTCCATGGGTACGTTACCACCGTTGGGAGGGCCCCTATGGGCGCCTGGCAGCGTCGACACTCCTGGGTGAGCCCCTGGTAGCGTCGTACTTGGTAATGCAAATGGGAGGGTCCCAAGGGGCATTGTAACTGTAGGGTACCTAGGGGCAGTTGTTTTTGCAAATTTAGAACAATGGGATATATGAATAAATACACAGCTCATTGCATTTCTAGTATCATCCCATCATGAACAATGTAAAGGAGAATAAATATCCAACAGGAAAACATAAGTTGGGGTGTTGTGCTGACTGACTGTTCTGTTCTCCTATTGGCTGTTATTTGGTGGACTTACCCTTTAGTCCACCAATCACAGGCAAGTAAGGGATTGCTGGACGTTTGCAATATGTACGACACCACGACCAAAAGCCATTGGGCTCCTGGAAGCAGGCGCCTCTGGTAGGGCCCTTGGAAGGATCCTGGAGGCACTGCTGCCCGTAAAGAGAGCCTTTGGGGGCGCCACTGTACTTAAGAAGAGTCTCTAGGTGCGCCACTGTACTTAAGAAGAGCCTCTGGGGGCGCCACCTACCATGAAAATTCCCCTTGGAACACCACTGCCCCTAGGAGGGCCTCTGGGAGGGTCCCTGTGGGCGCAACCGTCCCTGGGAGAGCCCATGGGTACGCCACCACCGTTGGGAGGACCCCTGGGGGCGCCTGGCAGCGCCGACACTCCTAGGTGAGCCCTTGGTGGCATCACACTTGGTAATGCAAATGGGAGGGTCCCAGGGGGCACAGTAACTGTAGGGTACCGAGGGGCAGTTTTTTTGCACATTTAGAACAATGGGATATATAAATAAATACACAGCTCATCGCATTTCTAGTATCATCCCATCATGAACAATGTAAAGGATAATAAATATCCAACAGGAAAACAAAAGTTGTGGTGTTGTGCTGAGTGACTGTTCTGTTCTCCTATTGGCTGCTTTGGTGGATTTACATTTTAGTCCACCAATCACAGGCAAGTAAGGGATTGCTGGACGTATGCAAAATGTACGACACCACGACCAAAAGCTATAGTGCTCCTGGGAGGGCGCGCCTTTGGTAGGGCCCCTGGACGGGCCCTGGGGGATCCGCTGCCCCTAAAGAGAGCCCCTGGGGGCGCCACTGTGCCTAAGAAGAGCCCCTGGGGGCGCCACCACCCTTGAGAGGTCCCCTGCGGGCGCTGCTGCCCCTGGGAGGGCCCCTCTGAGCGCCACCGTCCCTGGGAGAGACCCTGGGTATGCCACCACTGTTGGGAGGGATCCTGGGGGGCGTTTGGCATCGCTGACACCCCTGGATGAGCCCCTCGTGGCACCGCTCTTGGCAAAGCAAATGGTAGGTTCCCAGGGGGAACCGTAACAGTAGGGTTCCTGGGGGCAGTTGTTTTTGCACATTTAGAACAATGGGATATATGAATAAATACACAGCCCATCGCATTTGCAGTATCAGCATTTCATGAACTGTAAAGGAGAATAAATATCCAGCAGGAAAACATAAGTTGGGGGGTTGTGCTGACTGACTGTACTGTTCTCCTATTGGCTGCATTGGTGGATTTACATTTTAGTCCACCAATCACAGGCAAGTAAGGTTTTGCTGGACGTATGCAAATTGTATGACACCACGACCAAAAGCCATAGGGCTCCTGGGAGGAGGCGCCTCTGGTAGGGCCCTTGGAAGGATCCTGGGGGTACTGCTGCCCCTAAAGAGAGCCCCTGGGGGCGCCACTGTACCTACGAAGATGCTCTGGGGGCGCCACCTACCATAGAAATTACCCTTGGGACGCCGCTGCCCCTAGGAGGGCCTCTTGGGGGGTCCCTGTGGGTGCAACCGTCCCTGGGAGAGACCATGGGTAAATTGGGTATGCCACCACCGTTGGGAGGGCCGCTGGGGGCGCCTGGTAGCGCCGACACCCCTGGGTGAGCCCCTGGGGGCGTCGCAATTGGTAGGGCAAATAGGAGGGTCCCAGGGGGCACTGTAACTGTAGGGTACCTGGGGGCAGTTGTTTTTCCACATTTAGAACAATGGGATATATGAATAAATACACAGCCCATCGCATTTCCAGTATCATCGCATCCTGAACAATGTAAAGGAGAATAAATATCCAACAGGAAAACATAAGTTGGGGTGTTGTGCTGACTGACTATTCTGTTCTTCTATTGGTTATTATTTGGTGGATTTACATTTTAGTCCACCAATCACAGGCAAGTAAGGCATTGCTGGACGTATGCAAAATGTATGACATAACGACCAAAAGCTATAGGGCTCCAGGGAGGGGTCGCCTGTGGTAGGGCTTCTGGAAGGGCCCTGGGGGCACCGCTGCCTCCTAAAGATAACCCCTGGGGGCGCTGCTGTACCTAAGAAGAGCCCCTGGGGGCGCCACCACCCCTGAGAGGTCCCCTGGGGGCGCCACTGCCCCTAAGAGGGTCCCTGTGGGCACCACCGTCCCTGGGAGAGCCCCTGGGAAGGCCTCTGGGTACGCCACCACCGTTGGTAGGACCCATTGGGGTACCTGGCGGCGCCGACACCCCTGGGTGAGCCCCTGGGGGCGTGCACTTGGTAAGGCAAATGGTAGGGTCCCGGGGGCACTGTAACTGTAGGGCACCTGGTGGCAGTTGTTTTTGCACATTTAGAACAATGGGATATATGAATAAATACACAGCCCATCGCATTTCCAGTATCATCGCATCCTGAACAATGTAAAGGAGAATAAATATCCAACAGGAAAACATAAGTTGGGGTGTAGTGCTGACTGACTGTTCTGTTCTTCTATTGGCTGTTATTTAGTGGATTTACATTTTAGTCGACCAATCACAGTTAAGTAAGGGATTGCTGGACGTATGCAATATATACGACACCACGACCAAAAGCTAAGGGCTCCTGGGAGGGGGCGCCTCTGGTAGGGCCCCGAGAAGGGCCCCTGGTAAACTGAGACAACCCCAGGTGATCTCAGATAACCCCTGGTGATCCCAGACAACCTCTGGTGACCTCATACAACCCCTGGTGACCTCAGACAACCTCTGGTGACCTCATACAACCCCAGGTGACATCAGAAAACCCCTGGTGACCTCATACAACCTTTGGCGACCTCAGACAACCCCTGGTGACCTCATACAACCCCAACTGACCTAAGAAAACCCCTGGCGACCTCACACAACCCCTGGTGACCTCAGACAACCCCTGGCGACCTCAGACTACCCCTGGTGATTTCAAATTACCCCTGGTGATCTCACACAACCCCTGGTCACCCCACACAACCCTGGTGACCTCAGACAAACCTTGGTGACCTCAGACAACCCTTGATGAATTCAGACCACCCCTGGTGACCTCAGACAACCCCTGGCGACCTCAGACAACCTCTGGTAACCTCAATCAACCCTGGTAACCTTAATCAACCCCTGGATCCTCAATCAACCCCTTTTAACCTCAGACAACCCCTGGGGACCTGAAATAATGCCTGATGAGCTCATTGAACCCCTGGTGTCCTCAAACTACCCTGATGACCTCAGACAACCTCTATTGACCTCAGACAACTCCTGGTGATCTTAGACATCCTTTGTTGACCTTGGACAACCCCTGGTGATCTCAGACAACCCCTAGTGACCTCAGACATCCCCTGGTGACCCCAGACAAGCCTTGGTGACCTCAGACAACCCCTGGTGACCTTAGACAACCCCTGGTATCATCAGATAACCCCTGGTACCTCAGACAAACCTGAGGTCACTATGCGATACCTGAGTTCACCATGGAATGATTGAGTTCACTAGGGGATGCCTGGGGTCACCTGGGGATGTCTGAGAAAACCAGGGGATGCCCGAGTTCACCAGCATATGCCTGAGTTCACCAGCACATGCCTGAGTTCACGAGGAGATGAATGAGTTCACCAGCATATGACTAAATTCACCAGAGGATGCCTGAGGTCACTAGGGGATCCCCGAAATCACTAAGGGATGCCCATAGTCACGAGGAGACGCCTGAGGTCAAAGGGATACCTCAGTTTACTAGGGATTCCTGAAGTCACCTTGGAATGCCCAAGATCACCAGGAGATGCATCCCATAGTTAACTCAAGCATCCCATGGCAAATTCAGGCATACCATAGCGTACTCAGGTATCCTCTGGTGCTCCCAGGCTTCCCCTGGTGACGTTTGGTTTCTCTTTGTGACATACGTCATCCCCTGGGGAACTCAGGCCCTTCTGGTGACCCCAGGTATCCTCTAGTTACCTCAGACATCCCCTGCTGACCTTAAGCATCCCCTGGGTAACTCAGTCATCTCAGGGTGAACTCAGCCATCCCTTGGGGAACTCAGCCATCCCCTGGGGACTCAGGCTTCCTCTGATGAATATCTTGCATTCCCTGACGAACTCTGACACATCCCCTGATGACTGAAATGAATGAACTCAGGTATCCCCTCGTACTCAGGCATCCCATGGAGACCCCAGGAATCCTTTGGTGACCTCAGGCATACCCTAGTGACCTCGGGCATCTCCTGGTGACCTAGGGCATTTCCTGGTAACCTCAGGAAAGCCCTGTCGATCTCGAGCTTCCCACGGCGACTTCAGGCATTTCCTGGTGCACTCAGTCCAACCTCTAGTAACCTCAGGCTTCCCCTGGTGACCTCGGGCTTCCCTTGTTGACCTCAGGCATTCTCCGGTGACCTCAGGCATCCCCTGGTGTACTCTGGCATATTATTGTGAACTCAGACATCCCTTGGTGACCCCAGGCATCCCCTGGTGTCCTCGAGCATTTCCTGGTGTCTTCAGGCATCCCCTGGTGACCTTCAATTTCCGCTGGTGACCTCAGGCTCCCCTGTGGTGACCTCAGGTATCTCCTGGTTACTTAAGGCATCCCCTGGTGACCTCGGGCATCCCCTGGTGACCTCAGCCAACCCCAGGTGACCTCAGGCTTCCCCTGGTGACATCAGCCATCCCCTGGTTACTTCAAGCTTCCCCTGGTGAACTCACACTGCCACAGGGAATGTTGATCAGCCCATAGTAGCTTCTAAAAGTTCTATCAGGGTTTTATACATCTGCTTAGACACTTCATCACAGTTCCTAATAGGTAGTGTTACACATACACTTTCACAAACCAGACAGGAGAGAATAGATCAAATAGTGCCACATGTAGAGCAATACAAGTGAGGTAAACTAGATAATCACACAAGTAACATCCCTTTTTCATTATTCTGGGAGCGCCTGTTCTGTTGAGAATGAGGACATCTGTCAGACAACCAGGATGAATCGTACTCAATGTAGATACACATGAAAAACCTTTAACCCTGCACGTTTCCGTAAGACAGACTACATCAGTCCCAGTATAAATGTCAGGTAAGCGAACAATAACCCTGGTTATTTTCCTTATTCTGAAAATGCAGAGTACCTGTTAAGACTGCAGGTACTACCATCCAACTTTTGCTGCTATAGTCACGTAGTAGGAGTGTTGGAATAAACATTCACCCTGGCAGTGAGCAATGGAACAGAATTGTGCATGGCACAATAGGTAACACCACCAACAGTGATAGTATGTTGACTTGGCTGGACATTTATCATATTGCGTTTAAGTGTTGGAAGACCAAATAATCCGTCACATGTTTCAGAATCTCTCATGTTACATGTGTAGATTTGAAATTACGAATGAATGTGTATGTGTTACTATAAGATATGTATACCTGCTTTCAGCTGAAACATTAAAGATCCATTGTAAGTGAAGTTGAAAGTTTCAACTGTTCGTACCTGGAGCTGGCAGACGTCCGCCCCACAAAAGGTCACAGCTCAAGGTTGAAGATGTCACAAGTCCAGAAAACTGTGAGGGCAAATTTGTTGGAGTGAGAATTGTAAACTCTTGGAACAATCTGCTGGAGAGCTTTGTAACGGCACTGCTCATTCAAGGCCAGACTTGACCAACACTGGCGCAGGTTCATATATATTCAGGAGCCAGTACATGCCCAGTATCTGCCAACAGTGCGTATCTGACGTGAATGACCGCCCAAGCCGATCAGTGGCAAAGAGGATAAAAGTAAAAGAAACTGTATTTACCTTTAGTATAATGGTCAAGTAAGTTCAGTGCAGAGTTTGCAAGAGCGTGTGGGCATCTTATCTCTGCCTGGGGAGACATACAAGAGTTCCAATCGCCACTGAAGTCATACTGCTTTGATTCATGATCATCAGAGGATCTGATGACTATTGAAATTGTCAGTTTTGTATTTAAGAATGTCATTAACCATATGAAAGAAGCATGTCAACTCCTAACAGTGTGAAGTGACTAGCCCTCTGTTCGTGTCTTGATGACTCGGCACAAGGTTACAAATGATCTTCCTGTTTTTCAACTTTATTTTCATGTACTTGGTGTATACTAATTAAAAAACAAACAATATATAATTTCATAAGAATCCCTATAAATTATTACATGAGAATAATTGTATCTCAAGAAGGTGACTGAGCCTGAAATGTATAAGGGGGGATGCAGTTTCCCCGGGTTGAATTAGCTCTGTCCATTGGTGACGGTGTATCACAAGGTGGGAGGAATAATGCAACATTAAATTCAAGATATTCTACCTAGAAATAAAAGACTCATTTGGAAGATACACATTGTATCATGGCCTGCAAGGGGGTGAGATTTGCACTGCACTCCCAACCTGTGAGAGGGTTAATTACTCTACACTACCCAAGTGACTTGGCAGTTAAAATTTGGTGCTGTAGACAGCACTGGAGTTTTTTTAAGAGAACATTCATTCACTATGAATATTTTTCTAATGAAAACAAACCTGCAATTTTTATAGGACATAAGTTAAATTTTGTGTTAGGTAGCCATTTAAAATTTATTTATATTCTTATTAAAACAAACATATGAAAATGCCTCAAGCACCTTCTTTATGCATTTAGTCCTTACATCTTGACCATTATAGTTGATGGCTTACAAAGAAGTACAGCCCTAAACTACAGAGCATTAAATTATTGTACAACACCTACATAATTAGTAAATATTTGTTAACTGGTAGCCAAGTGTTAAGTAATAGATTCTCCTATACAGCACCCACCCAATCTTCATTGGAACACTATTGTGCCTAAGAACTACCTACAAGGAATGCAAGTTACTGAATTTTGTGAAATTGGATAAACTCTGCCCTAGCTCAAAGTTCTAATAAAACCTCTGAACCTGTATTATATAGAGAAAGCATTACAGATGGAAGATAAAGCAAAATGATGATTATAAAACTAAAAATAACAGTTATAAACATTATCATTACAGTATTCATTAATTTATTCATGTATCATTTACTTATTTTCTTTGAAATGTTAAATATATCTCTGGAAAGAAAAGATTTCACAATACTGAATGTTATTGACACTTTTTATTACCTCTACTTTCTGGCACATCAGTGGTTATTATTATTTTATTTAAAAATTAGTTGGCTGATATATAACAATACAGAAATGTGTTATATATTAAAATTACCCAATAGTGGTATATTTATTATAACCCGAAGTATAAATCAAACAATAGGTGTATCTGGCCCGAGGATCCCTCATATCTTGGAAGGTTGAACGGCGTCATGCTTGACCTGCTTGTTGTGAGGACATTCAGAGGACCCTGGGGGCAACCATATATCTGATGTGCAGTCACCACCTGGATACCTGGGTAGAAATTGAACTCTTCAATTATAAGTAATGTAATTTACTCCCATTAATTTATTTAATGTTATACCATCTATTACCTTATTCATTTTATTTTTTATTTTAACTAAGACTTCTAAATTGCAAAGATGTAAAGTACAAGAAAATTCAATATACTGTACAAAGAAAAATTAATTGAATGTAATACCTTTATTAACTCAAGAATTATACTCATTTCAAAACGTTTAGACTATACAGGACCAGCGCTACCCACTAGGCAAACTAAGCAAATGCCTAGGGCGCCACAAATTCTGGGCAGTTAGATAAAATTACCTAATCTAAGCAAAATAAAAAAATCTCAAAACCAAACCAGATGCCTTAGGGAGGAGTGGAGGGTCGGAGCAGGTTAGGTCAACTAAGGGACAATGAGGGAGGGCTGGAAGAGGAGGTATGGATGGGGAGGGGGTCGTGTGGTGTTATGACGTGTCACGTGTAAGAGAAAAAACCTACTATGGATGACATAATATTTAATCAAAACAGTTTCGGTGACAACTGTTTCCCTCCTCAGTGGAGTTACAGATAAGGTCTAGCATATCCAACACTACAAAAATTCCTTATATCCAGTAAACATCACATCATGACATCATATCACCTGCCTCCCATGACCATGGCGGTCACCTTTGACAAGATCAGGTAGCACATTTGCTGGCAGGGACCTGGCCACCAACACTTCCATCACAGGATCCAGCTTGAACATGCCTTCACATCAAAGAACATATTGTGGTTTCTGTGCCAATTTAGGACACAACAGGTGCTGGTATGCCAGACACCATTCTTCATCGGTTACAGAATACTGTATGCCATTACAGGTCGAAAACATGCATAGTCAAGGTTATGATAATGGAAGCAACATGAAAGGAAAAGAAAATGTGTACAGTACATGTACTATGTATACTTTACAAAATAAACGAATAACTTAAACCTCAGTGTTTTTAGAACTATTTTCCAGCAGTAATGATAAAAATGCTTTTATTTAATATCAGCTGCAACAGGGAGAGTGGCACTGTAGTTTTCTACCAGTAGAGATAGCACAAGTGGCATTATTCTACACTAATAGTGCACCCAGCATTGTATATACTAACTGCATTGTCTAAATACATGCTGAACCAATTGTAAACTTGCATGATGATTTTACTAAATTAATATCTATTCACAGTTTTATCTAATTCTAAATATTCATTTGGTAAGATTTTAGGTACCATGGATTTACTGTAAATTCTTGACAGGCTGGATATAATTCTCCCTCCCACTAAAGATTAGAAGGAAATCACAAAAATCATTCTCTCTTTATCCATTCATGCTTAAATTATAAAATGCTAATGTGTTTTCTTACTCTCTTTATGTTAGATATATTTACCAAAGAATAATTGTAGGGGTATGCTATAACGAACGGATCCTACTACGAATATTCCTATAACGAACGGTTTTACCTATAAAATTGAGAATGCTATAACGAACGAAACTCCTACAACGAACATTATTTATAAAAAAAAATTTTTTTTTTTTTTTTTACTAATCTATTGTTTTTTATTACAAATATTAATGATATTCTTTATTTCAGGGGTTTAGATGCATATTTATGCACTTTTTTACAATTTATTCAATTTTATATATTTTTCAGTGTTAAGTGGTTGTATTTGGGGGCCTGGAGCGGATTAATCCTATAACGAACGAATGCTATAACGAACAAGGTTCTAGAACCAATTAGATTGGTTATAGCATACCCCACTGCACCATGAAATTATTAGTTGTATATAATACCTGATTTCATGAGCTAGTGCTGGCCCATCCGGTTCCTTTCCAAAGTCCACTAGGAAGTTTTGGTTCAGAGCGAGACCACCATTTTCTACGTCAACATCAATCTGCAGCATTAGTGATCCATTCCTTCAAGACCAAGAGAAGAATTATTAGTAGAAGATCACCGAAATCAAAATAGTATTGGCTCCCAAAATAAGAGGTCCAACACTAGCAATTATTTTTGTGGCTGGAGAGATGAGTGCTTGAGATCTGACCAAAAATAAATGTAATTCTAACCATAAGGGAAGCTGGATATTAGCCTAAGATGGCACACTACTAAATGCTTTGTAACTTTGAATAATTCAATAATTAATATATTATGTTCCCCCTTGCTACCTAATTCTTATATAAACATTAAACAAATATAAAAGTCCATTTATCATTTCACCATTCACCAGCTTACTAGCCGTTAGGGAGGTGGTTGGTCTGTTCCGTTTTACTTCGTAATGACCTTTATTGCCCAGAGTTACCTGGTAGTAGTACAAGAGGAAACCAGAGTACCCGGAGAAAACCTGCCATGTTTTAGTAGGGTCACGCTGGAGTACACATCTGTCCCATACTAAGGATTGAACCTAGGACACAGTAGTAAGCATTACCACTGTGTCTCCAACTTTTTATTATACCACATCAGACTACAGCAACTTCTAAGATCAAGCAAAAGGAAAATTAAATATGACACTTTAACATTAACTGTAGAGAAACTTAATATTTCCTGGATATAAGCATCACTTACTTGGCTAACTTTGGGTAGAACTGTTTGTCCCAGGGAGAGAAGAGAGAGTCTGTGACATAGAGACGTTTTCCATCCAGTGACAATTGTAACATCTGAGGACTTCCTTCTATCAGTCGACCTTGGATATGCACAGGATCTGGTTGTTCCTAAAAAAGATGAAAGAAAAATTTAATGATAGCTCCTGGTACTACTGTAGTACACTGAAATTCTTTAGCAAAATACTATAACCTTTATCATTGAGACTAAAAACTGTGATACTGAATCCCATATGCCTGATGACCACCCATTAGGGACAGGAACAGTGAGCATACAACACACTGTACTGAACACCATGCCTTTGGTACACAAGGAAGCAACAACTCTTAGGATGGGAGGTGGGCATACCCCAATCATCAAAATAGAATATGATTTCACATTTCCACTTTATAAAGATGAGCTGAAAATAAATTCCTTGAAATTGAAATATTCAGTAAGCCAGAGCAATATAATGTTTACATCTCTTTTGTAGGAGTGAGAGATGTACCAAATCAGGAGGCCTTTACGTGCTACATTTTGTGATGAGACTAAATTTAAATATTTTAACCTGAAACTAAACATCATAGCACTATGAGAAGCTGAAGGGCCTATCAAATGATAAACACTTTAGGTATCCAATAGACACTTCTAAAAAATTAATTAATGAAAATGTAACATCTGTGTTGGCATTCGTATGGAGCGGGGGTCCCCAACCTGTGGTAAATTTGAGCTTTGCCAGTGGTACACAGTGAATTGAAACCTTTATTCATTACTCGAGAGATGGGACTGCAAAAGAAATCTGATAAATAATCTGCTTTAAATTGCATGCCAAATACCCTGATATCCCCATTGGTAGACAGTATGACAACAAAGCATAAATATGAGGGCAAGTAGATTGTGAGAGACATCACTTTCTCCTCATTGTGATGTATTTTTATTTTTTTACAATTATGCTCTGTACCGGTAAGATATGCATTAAATATATGGAAATCATGTTGATATCAATCAATTCATGGATATAATTATCACACATTCAACCTCATTCATGTAACTATGAGCATAGTGGTACATTGCTGTCTACAATAATGTCAAGTGGTACACGAGATGAAAGAGGTTTGCAACCCCTGATATAGAGTATAGCGAACACCTCCTAATAATGGAATTAAATGTATCAGTTCACCGACTTGACCAACACTGGAGCAGGTCCAGATATACTCAGGAGCCAGTGCATGCCCAGTACTTGCCAAAAGTGCATAAGAGTTGTGACCGATCGCCCAAGTGGCTAACGAGCCGATCAGTGGCGAAGTGGATAAAAATAAAATTAAAAAGAAAAAAGAAATCAACCAGAGAATCCCTGCACACAAACCAATGACCCCCAAAGCAGCCACTCCCCATTCCTGAATTACAAGTGGTAAAACAGAGAACCCTGTCATTTCTTAAGAAAATAGACCGGAATCCAAGATCTAATTGATGTATACTCATCCCAAAAGAACCATTATAATCCAAACTCGACCCAGGGAAAGACACAAGTCCCCAAACAGATGCATACATCTATATAACCTAACCAACTGCCAGGTTGCTAAAGCTGCTCCATGTTAATTCCACTAAACAGATATACAATAAAAAACCCATGATTAAGTACTCACTTAATTCAAAATCAAGCATACCTGGTAATTCATAATGTTTTGCTGTTACGAAATATATGTTACAAATTTTGTAATCAATCAAAAGTTCAAATAGCTAATACTCACAGTCAGCTCAGAGTCCTCTATAACCTTCACAGGCCCACCCTTAACAATAGATCCACCCAAAAATATTTGCCCCACCAATTTAGGGTGTTCAGGGTCTGTGATGTCATACTGACGAATATCACCATGTGCCCAGTTGCTGAAGTATAGAAACCGGTCATCCAGAGAAATAAGGATGTCCGTCATGATACCTAAAATAAAAAATAAATATTCTTTAACACATATTGTACTAAAATATCGATCGTATACACAATGCAAGCATATACGTACAGTACATGATAATGGTAGTACTGTAGACTCAATTTTATAAGACTTTGGGCAATGTGGATCGTTTGTGTAATGGAAAAACAGTTAGGACCATCATTCTATTATTATGCATTAATGTTATCAATGCTAGATTGGTTGCCCAATACAATATAATGCCATAAATTTTAAATACTCAGTCATATGGGATAAGAATGGTTGAATTTATAAAAAACACATAAAAAATCTGTACCAACGGCACCATTAACACATAACCCTAGAAAAATGAAAATCCCACAGCTGATAGAATAATAGTAGCCATTTTAAGTAAAAATAATGGAAGTAGATGAAATGTTAAGGTACCACATTTACACACTTATGTATTATTATATAATTTTTTTTTTTGCATGAGAAGGGGCCAAGTCAAATAATGAAACTACTGTGCATCATTTAAGAATAAATGAAGACTTAATTTTACAACTACTACCACATCAAAATAGGGGTGGTTAGGTTAGGTCACTTTTGGAATGAACAATTGCAATGTGTTCAAGTTGTATACTGTACTACTTCTGAATTCTTGCAAGATATCATAAATTGGAATTTCCAACTATATTAGTACTGTAGTTCCATTAGAATTGTGCAGGATTCTGAAAATATGCATAACAATCTTTTAATTGATCTTTTTGCCGGGGATGCCTTATGAACTGTAAAGGTATACTGTTCTGTAACTTACCAGGCATCTCTGGCAAGGCCCAGCCCTCTACCTTCTTGATTGGAATGCTGATCACTTTTGGACCCATAAGTCCCGTCCCCCTTTCTATAAAATCTGCCGATCAGAACAAACAAATAATTAGGTTCTAAAAATTCAATCATGCTCATAATAAATCTTATGATTAATAACCATCCTAACCATTCCCGTATATCTCGGCCTATAAGATGGAATTTGAACCTTAAAATAATCGGCCCAAAGTTAGGGAGTAGTCTTAAGCACCAGATATAAAATTCTTACCTCTTAAATATTGCGGTTTAGCGTGTCAAGAGTGGTGATGGAAACATCGTAAACCACTCACAAGGTCCTACCACTAATTATTTTATACTTAAACTTATGTTTGGGAGGCTGGATTAAAATTAAGATTACCGGTATATTAAAATAGTAAAAATGTATTATAAACCTGTCTAACATATCGTAAAAGAACAATATACCCCGGAAATAAATACAGCTGCTATCATCACCAACCCCTCATTTGCCAGTGAGGAGACAAGAAAGGGAAAGTGACCTTGACTGTGACAGCCTGTGGCTATTTTTAGCGGTTTTTGTGTTCGAGGGGGGTCAGTAATGCATATCTGTATATTTACTGATCATAATACTTATCTCCTATAAAAAATTCATTTAAAATTTATTTTTTTAAAAATAATATTCCGTAAATGACTGCGTTAATTCTTGAAACTACCGACAGTGGTAAATTTAGGATGAGAATGATGAACACGAAGTCACGTCATCGGATTCGGAGTTTGGTCCTTAATGTTCACCATAAATGTATCAGGTCAACTTCACCTACGGGTATAGCCTTCCTTTTCTTGAAACAAGTTTATAAATTAAAAAATACTTGCAGTGTGTTTAATATATTACAGTATATTATAAATAAATAAATAAACAAATAAATCGGTAAATCTATTTCAAGTAAATGGAAAAATTTTACTCACACGACATTAGTTCCAGTTAAATAACAGACGCAAGTGAGTCACTCATGTTTACACTACTGTGCACCAGCCCGGTAAAATTTGATGCCAATACTTGAAGTGAATTGGCCTTATTTTAAATAACCAACCATAAATAAATGCAAAAATGAAAAAAAGATCAAAGGTGAGAAACATTATATTGTATGTATGTTGCGTTGTCAAAGGAAGAAAACAATTGAAACTGCAATTGTGTGTAAATGAGGCAGAAAGATAGATCAGCAACCTAAGACTTGGTCACACTTTCGTGATGCCATATGGAAGTAGGGTCTACCATTAGACCATACTGTACATTATGCTTCCAATATCTTCCCAGGCAGTAGTATCTCCCTGTTTGGTAACTGCCTACTTTTAGTAATATTACTTTGATACAACATGATAAATTAGACAAACAATGAAAATAAACAAACAAAGTTATTTACAAGACTTTCTCTCTGAGAACAGAGGGTAAGAGATGGAGGGGGACAAGAGGCTATTTATAGCGTCTTTTTGTCGGAGGTGACGCACTATAAATAATTCATTTAAAATTTACTTTTTACATGGAATATTCAGTACATAACTGCGATTATAAAATATTGTTAATTAGTATACAGTGACCCTTCGTTTAACGAACACCTCGGTTAACGTAATTTCGATTAACGAGCAAGCTTCCGTAAAGTTCAATTGGTGAAAAAGCTAAACCGAACTTCTTCTGAACCGACCTCAACATGTTTTAGCTTGCACTGACCGGGCAACCAGCTTTAGTATCAGTCGCCAATACATTAATCGGTTCTAGGGCTTAAATTCCTACTATTTTTGTAAATATCAAAGTTTATACTATTCAATAATTTTAAAAGTTTAATATTCAATTTTTAGTCATTTTAACAATTATTGAACAAATGAGTAAAAGTGACTAGTTTAATCGGCATCCAGCCTCTTAACACAGCAAACAGTCATCTCTCTCTGTTTTCACTGGAGGTAACATCTTGCTTGAGACTCTCTTCAACTAACGCTTTTTTCTGTTTCCAAGCAAATTATTGGTCATTTTGAAATATATTTTATATATTGACAATATATAATGCAGTGCAGCGTTGATTTAAAATAATCTTGAATTAAACCAGAGAGCTAAAATTTTATGGGTGAAATGGCACCATGGGGTGACTTCTCTTCCACCCCAATGCCTTCTCTTCTTCCTTCTCCTCCACCCCATTCTAAATCCCATCATCATCATCATCATCCAGGAGCCTTCTACATACACACCTCAAAATGAAGTGAACTTTTCTACCATTTTTGTTGAATTTAGGAAATTTTAGGTGAGCTGGAACCAATTACCCAAAAACCCATTGAAACAATGGTTTTGGTTAAAGCGTTTGGTTAACGAACGACCTTCTGGAGCAGTTGAGTTAGGTTAACGAGGGGCCACTATATTAAATATATATATATATATATATATATATATATATATATATATATATATATATATATATATATATATATATATATATATATATATATATATATATATATATATATATATATATTAATATTTATATATTTGTTGGGACCTTGCTGTCTTTAATCAAGACATCTTCGGCAACTTGTAGCCTCTGAAGATGTCTTAATAAATGGCTAAGGTCTCTTTCATTATCTTATCACGTTTTCATTGTGGATTACATGAAATATATATATATATATATATATATATATATATATATATATATATATATATATATATATATATATATATATATATATATATATATATATATATATATATATATATATATATATATATATATATATATATATATATATATATATATATATATATATATATATATATATATATATATATATATATATATATATATATATATATATATATATATATATATATATATATATATATATATATATATATATATATATATATATATATATATATATATATATATATATATATATATATATATATATATAGATAGATAGATAGATAGATAGATAGATAGATAGATAGATAGATTTGTGTAATAAATGTATGTAGTATGTACGTACAGTAATCTTTTTCACTCAAATCCTAATGAAACACTAATGAATTAGAATACGGTAGCTGGTGCAAACAGTGGGAACAGTCTCACCACCGATTGTCTCTCGTGAAGCAAGCTTATAAATTAAAGAAAATACTTGCAGTGTGTTTAATATATTACAGTATGTTATAAATAAATAAACAAATAAGTCGGTAAATCCATTTCAAGTAAATGGACAAATTTTACTCGACACCAACATTAGTTCCAGTTAAATAATAGACGCTTAAGTGAGTCACTAGTGTTTACACTACACCAACCGGTAACATTTGATGCCATTACTTGAAGTGAATTGGCCTTTTTTTAAAAAAAACCAAGGATGTGTAAACAGCACTGGTCAATGGGATGGTTGGTAAAGGACTACTGGGTCAGTAAGCTCCCAATGGTAAGTGTCACATTTGGGGTACCGGTCTTATACAGGGAATAGGGCTCAAAAGCTACTTTTTAAATGGAAATTTTGGGGTCGTCTTATACACCCCGTCGCCTTGTAGGCCGAGATAGAAGGTACTTGTACAATACAGATTATATGCCACTTAGATGACTGATGATTTAAACTAACATAGCTTAAACTAACCTACTGGTAAATCATCTTTGTGGGATGGCAGAAATTGCATACAAAATCACTTATTTTTTAGTGAAAATTCAGGCAACTGGAAATTTTTTATTTATTTATATTTTTTTAGCCACTACAGTATTCATATGACAAATAAATTATAATACTCTACCTTCATTCAGGGGACAGGGTAGTACCTTAACTATTTAAACTCATTAAAAGATTATTCTGCACCTTTACAGGGTTATACAATATGACACACCGGACCAAGAAAGTGATAACACTCATCACGGCTTCTGTCACAGCGATCGCTCCAGATCGTTTCATAGCTGGCAGAATATTTTTCCAGATCGTTTCATAGCCGGCAGAATATTTTTTTAGAGTGTAAAATACAAAGAAAATATTTTTTACAACAAACATACCATAAAAAATGCTTATAAATACAAACATGAATTACAGAACTCAAGATTTACCGGAACACATTGGCATAGAGGGCACAGCCTACAAAGCCCTGAGTGGCAAGAGGATTGTGAAGGAAGCGAATCTCTAGTGGCATGATCCCCTCCAGTCCTAAGTCAATGCTCTGCAGGAGACGATGGCTAGACCAAGAGTACACATTGATGTGGCTTCCATAATTTCCTGAAAATGACCAAGGTACAGTAAACGTTATACCGTACATCAATATTTCTGTTACATAACAATAAAGCTTAGAATGATAGATATTTATTCAGTAAAATTGCATAATCTCCATGTATATAGACAATGCAGGTATATATTTCAACATGCATATAGCCTGTACAGGTATAAATTTTCCAATGTACCTAGAGAATGCAGGTACAGTATGTAAATATTAATAAACAATAAGGAAATTCGACCAAGAATGGCCAATAGAGCCATCAGATGCTTATTTCCTGCAGAGTCCTTCAATAATCATGAACATTTGTTCATTGATACAGCATAGTCAATATGATAGAAAAGTAGTAGATCATTGGCAGTAACAAATCCTCTGAAAAATATCTTCCCTGTGGTATATTATGAAAGGAGACAATTCTTAAATAAAAAAATAATGTTGTAGCTAGAGATGTGCATACTAGCCAAGACTTTAACAGTTCACCCCAGCAATCTAAAGTGGCATTTATGGAAGTAACTGACATACTTGTGTGTGAATTTTGGTATTCAAACCTTGAATGTTGATTTCAACATATTATGTAAATAGAAAATGAACAGTTATTTCGTTTTTTGACCTTACATTTGTAAGGTGGCTGGGACTAATCATTCAATAGTTATGCCAACCAGCTGAAATTATAGGCCTTAAACAGTTAGAGCTGTCACTCCTACCAGGAATGTGCAGAGATCTCAAGAAAGTCCTCTGGATTATACTGTATATAGATGCATTCACTGTACACAAAGCAATTCCAATGATTATACACAAAAGAGAAGAAATCTCTTAATCATTAACACAATACTGTACACTTACCAGCCTCTACATCCTTTGGGTCAAATCCCTTGAAGAATGCTGTGGGACAACCCCATTCACTCGACACAAGGACATCATGTGTAGGCTGGTACCAATAGTCATATCCATACTCAGAGTCCATATCTGTCCATGGACCTGGAAGTGTAAAAGTATTCAAGTGTACCATGTTAACATCATCCATAGTCTCATCACTTCAACATACTGTACAAATATATGTCAACACTGGTTGCCCTTAGTCCAGTACAGTATAAAACTATAGTTACTTAGAGGTCAACTAACATCCTATTATTTTTAATTATTACTACCTATACTGTACTTTCCGTAGAATGAATAAGAACTTAAAAAAATTAAACAGTTTTAGTTTAAATTGTTTTTAAAAAGAGCCATAAGTCAATCTCTTAGGCAGGGCACAACATGAACTGAGGGAGATTTAAAGTTAAAACTGGATAGAATTTACATTAAAAAATTACAATGAGTAGTAAGAAGTCTTTGAATTATGAACCCTGGTCAGTTTTTAGTTTGGTACAAGGTTTCACTACCTGTTACATTAGAAAGAAATCTGACTAGTAACCTGAGACTACGATAAGTGGCAAAGAAAATAAAGTAATTAAAATATGAATGTGATCAGTACCTTACCATATCACACTAACCTGTATGTTCAAAGGTGAAGGAGTCAAAGGTTATGAAAGATCCTTTGGCTTTGCCTTGTGCATCACCCAGGGTAGATATCATAACCTTGCCATTAGGTAAACAGTGAGTGGTATGGGGGTGACTCACACCATGAGACTTCAGTACCTCAGGTTCTAATACCTAGGAAAAAGAAATATAATAATACAGTTGGGTCTTCATTTACGCGGTCAATTGAACCCACGGAGTGCCGCGTAAAACGAGAAACGCATAAATGAAATAACAGAACATATGGGATTACCGGTAATTGAAATAGAGACTGGGCTGACCCCCAAACTCCACTTTTTCCGACACAATACGTACCTTGTAGTCAAAATAACATCTTAATTTTATGATGGTATGCACACACAATTAATAATTAAGAGAAAAATCAATAATATTAGGTTTTATAACACTTACGTTAGTAGAAAATATGGCTGGGCACACGGGGATGGGAGGTTGGTTCCGAGGCAGAGGGCAGATTATTGGCCCTCACCTGTATCACTTGTATCAATTGTATCACTATCCACCACAGAGGCTTGCAGGGCCTCTTTGTCAAACCCCTCAAAGTCCATATCCTCACTATCACTGACTTGGGCCGGCTGTGGTGGGTGGCGAGTGAAGAACTCAGCAATGTTTTGATGACTGGGCGACCTTGTGCGCACCCTGCCCGTGCCGCTTCCCGCGTAAATGACCAAATTTACCGTGTAAATCAAGCATTTCAATTCTGGCAAGGCACCTCGTAAATAACCAAACGCGTAATCCAAAACCGCAAAAATCCAGACTCAACTGTAATCTGTATATAATTCTACCAGGCTTATCTGAGATGCTTCAAGGATGTTTTGACAATTCTTAAAAGGATTTATTAAAATGAAACAAGAAATGTGAAATCACTACAGTCATCTTTTTTATAACCACCACACTTCGAAACTTGTAAGACTTAAGAGGTGAAATAATTTTAAGGCAAACACACCCACAGAAATGTTTGAAAACTTTAATGATGGATGCAGATGGATAGCAGAGATATTTCCAAACAATATAAAGAATGATCAAGGGGTAATATAGAGCAGAACTGCATGGCATGCTAGTTCGCCCTTCCCTTAGTATCTTAGTACTCGCAGGGGATATGTTCTCAAAACAGCAGCAAATACTATTATCGTAATTATCTGTACTGTATACAACAACTATGACTTATGGACTATCTGCTCTTTCAATATCATCCAGTACTGTACATTCTAACACCACCACAACATGGACAATTTATTTTTAACCTTTGAAAAGTTAATATTTTACTCCAACAGTAATAATGCCAATGACTGGCCACTTTTAAAAAAAAACTGTTGAGAATAATGAGCAGCTGATCACGTGGACACAGCGCCCATATCATGTGTTCTGAAGCAGTTACTCTCAAGACATTATGGATGGACGGCAATGTATTGTATATAGTAAATATATTTCTAATAATGTATTATGGTGTACAGTATATACAGTATATGAAATACTGTAATTAGTTAAACATACACCACAGAAATAATTAATTATTTCTGAAAATAGAAGTAAAGTAATCAATAAGAAATGAGTAATACAGTTCTTCCCATGACATTTTCACAAGACATGTAAGTAAAGTTTCGTGTTTACGTACAAAAATTATGCATAACACTATATATATATATACACACACTATATATACAGTATATATATATATATGTATATATATATATATATATATATATATATATATATATATATATATATATATATATATATATATATATATATATATATATATACAGTATATATATATATATATATATATATATATATATATATATATATATATATATATATATATATATATATATATATATATATATATATATATATATATATATATATATATATATATATATATATATATATATATATATATATATATATATATATATATATATATATATATATATATACATATATATACAGTATTAACCCGCTTTACATGGTTTCACTTTACGCGATTTCTCGTATACGCGGTGCCTCGCCAGAACAGAACTTTCACTTTACGCGGTTCATCTACCCATATACGCGCAGAGTGTCCGGCTCGACGCTATTTTTAGATTCGCCCCACCCGCCTGCTCCTCCCTCCTCCCTCCTCCCGCCTCCGCCTGGGCAAGCCGCGCGGTAAGGTTGCACAGTGCATGTCTCTGTTGCGTTATCACTAACGTCATATGACGTATCGGACTGTGATTGGCCATGCATCCCTACCTGCCCCTCTCTGCTGCTAGCTGTAATTGGTTTAAAGTAATATGACGTGTCCACCCGGGGAGGGAGGGAGGGAGGGAGGGAGGAAAGACGATGCTTGACCTAGCCGCGGCAGTTTCATCCCTCAAGGCCACACCGTGTATATGTGCATCCATTGTTCTGTGAAATGGATTCCGCCGTACCACCGCCACCAGAGAGAAACCTTTCCTTACCTGGACCCAGCCGCCCTAAGCCCAAGAAGACACGATGTTCCTTAAGCTACGAGGTGACGTACAAGATCATCCAAGAGTTAGAGAAAGGAACAAGACAGGTTGATTTGGCGCGCCAGCATGGTGTGAACGAATCTACGATCCGGATGATAAAGAAGGATGCAGCCAAGATAAAGGAGCACATGAAGATCACAAAGTGTACAGGTGCTTCTATGATCAAGTATTTCCACAACCAGGTGCTTCTCAAGACGGAAATATTACTTGTGAGCTACTTGGTGCGTCAGGCGCGACGGAACATGGCAGTGGACACGCGCTCTGTTAAGGAGTACGCACGTGAACTGTATGCTGCAGTGTCATGAAAGATGGGAATTACAGAGCCCAAACCCTTTAATGCTTCCTCTGGGTGGTTACAGAGGTTTAAGATGAGGAACAAGATCACCAATATCAACATTGGTGGTGAAGAAGCTAGTGCTGACCGTGTTGCGGCTAGGGAATTTCCTCCGTTTTTACGTGAGATTATGGAGGAAGGACAGTACACCGACGACCAGGTGTTTACCATGGACGAATCTGGTCTTTTTTGGAAAAAGCTACCTTCCAAGACCTTCGTTGTGAAGAATGCCATCAAGATTTGGGGCCGGAAGTTGCAGAAGGAGCACATCACCGTCCTGTTTACCACCAATGCCTCCGGTACCTGAAAGCTCAAGTTATCAGTGATCCACACAGCCCGCAAGCCGCACGCCTACAAGAGCATGGACATGACCAAGCTAAATGTCCACTGGCTGACCGCACGTAAGGCGTGGATGTTCTCTACACTGTCCCTCTCCTGGTTTGATGACTGTTTCGTTCCCAATGTAAAGAAATTCTGTGAGCAACAGAATGTGCCATTTAAGATTTTGTTGCTGCTGGACAACGCACCAGGACACTCGCCCCTACTGTTAGATCGTCACCCCAACGTAAAAGTGGTCTTCCTTCCTCCCAACACTACGTCTATATTACAGCCCATGGACCAAGAGTTAATCTGTAATGTAAAAGCTGCATTCTCTACAAAAAAATTCAAGCTCCTGAACGACTACACCAACACCAGGGAAGAGTTGCGTAACCTGAGTGACACCACCACCGATAGCAAGAGCGAAGACGACGAGGGTCAACAGTTGGCAGAGCAAAACATACTTTTCAAACAATTCTGGAGAATATTCAACATCAAGAAAGCTGTGGACTTCTTGGTGGAGGCATGGGATCAGCTGTCTGTAGCAACTGTTCGTCACACATGGAGACATGTGTTGCAAGGCATTCCGGCCGTTAGGCAGAGACAATCTGTGACTGGTGAGGTTTAGACTGTTGCAGTAGCAGTGGACCTTGCCAGAGAAGATGCACAGAGTGTTACAGCTGCAGGCTTCTCCGAGACCACCAACGACGACATCCTGGAGGTGATACGGGATCCTGATGCGACTACCGACGAGATGGTAGATGATGATGACGTCAGTGAAGAGGCAGGTGGTGCGTCATCCCAAGAAGAACACCGCTTATCCCATAGTAATGTTAGGGGTGCCATTGAGTGTATCGAGAAAGTCAAGCTCCTCCTTTCCGACGACCCTGACGCAAACAGGTATGAAATCTTCACTACCCAGCTGTTGCAGACTATGGTGCCCTACATCAAGGTTTATCACGACAACATAAACACCAGCCGTCAGCAAAGCATAACAGAGTTCTTCGCCTGCAACCCACCACAGCCAGCCCAAGCCAGTGATAGTAACAGGCAGAGACAGTGATGATGACTTTGAGGGATTTGTCAGGGAGGCACTAGTAAGTGTGGATGACAGTGATGGTGACTCACCTGAGGGCCAGTAGCCTGCCCTCTGCCTCGGAACCAGCCTCCATCCCCGTATGCCGACCCATCTCTTCTACTAACGGAAGTGTTAAACCTAACTTTTATTTTTCCTAACCTAACCTTTATTTTTCCTAACTTAACCTTTATTTTTCCTAACCTAACCTCTTCTATATTAATTGTGTGTGCATACCATCATAAAGTAAGATAAAATTTTTACTACAACATAGTTGTGTGTCGTCAAAAAGTGGAGTTTGGGGGTCAGCCCGGTCTCTATTTCAATTAATCCCATATGTTATGTTGTTCACTTTACACGTTTCTCACTTTCCGCGGTACCCTGTGGGTTGTATTAACCGCGTAAAGTGAGGGTTGACTATGTGTTTTAGTGTAATAATAGTGTAAGATAACTAAAAATATACGTACCTCACCCCCGACCCCCATTTCATCAGGAGAGGAAAAACTGGCCATACCAGTCTCACATGTCACCCTAGACCTGGCGATAATCATAGAGGACAAAGCTATTTTAATATCTAATATAGTACCAAATGTAACAACTTTCATCTAACCTTGAAGAGTTTGGGTTGAGTTTCTTCTGAAATATCTACCACATACACTCTTGATGAGCCGATAGCTGGCAGGACAAGTCTATTCCGGACACGAGAGGGATCGTCATAGCATGAAGAACAGGTGTTCCATCCTGTATGGTGAATTTCATCATCCAAGTATGGCAAGTACAGTCGATGGATTACCTGTAACAAATTCACTATACAGCATGATAAATATATGACTCATTTCGACAGACGGGTGTGTGATAGCCAAGGATACACTATGCCTGCTTGTGTTTCCTTCTTTACCAAGCTCCCATATGACGACAAGACTTGAAATAATCAGAAAACAGTAGTTCAACAATAAGTTAAAATTTATAAAAGTTAAATTCTATGCTCCTGCCTAAATTGAGTAAAAGAATTGGAATTGTGCTTTTCATAAACAGAAAAATAAGCAAGACAACAACAAATAAAATTTAGAATCATGATTGTCAAAAATAAATGCTGTATATATACAGTAGGTACTGTACCATCAGGTATATGAGATAAAATAATTACACTTATTATACTTCTAAAATTTTTCTGAACAGACTAAATCTGTGACTAATACAGTACAGCACAGTACTGTTTAATGTATACTACTGTATATTGTATTACACATACAGGACAGCTATACAATTTCCAACTATAATACTGTATTAAATACTGTACTGTACTAAAAATCCCTATAGGCATTCTTACAACTTCAATCAGACCTTGCAATAATTTGGAGACTGTGGATCAATATCTATTGTGGCGAGGTAATCTGGCTTGCCTGTTTTGGTCTTAATGCAGGGCACCCACACCAGCTTCTCCCTGGGTCCCTTCATGGCCTCAAGGGGGCTTGCATACCCTGGTCCTGGAAACGAAAAAAAAAAAAACTTAAAGGACTGGTTTGCGACAATTTATAAAGAAAAATTGGTTACAAGTTGAGCTAGTGTATACATAATGCAACCAGGAGTATGGCAGCTGGAAAATTAATTGGGTCAATAAACCTTCATCAAGAATTGTCTCCGAACTACATCTGAAAATTTGGTGCAATTCCTTCTGGTGCTAACAGTAACAAAATTAAGAGACCTGCCAGTCTGCCACCCGAATGGCTAGTAAGCAAAATGGTGAAATGACAAATTAAACTGCAATTTGACCGTCACTGTTTAAGAATCAACCACATAGTGTAACTATGAGCTTACCTTTTCCTGTTTTCTGGAAAGAAATTAAACCTTAACTCTATTATTTCCTTTGTTTTTTCCCCACAAACAACACAGGAGTGGCCGGTGTCTTGAGCCATGTTTATATCTGCCGCCACACCCCCTTAACCCACGTGAGTCTTCAAGGCTGAGACGCAGATGTAAACAGACAGCCAACACACCAGCCATCCAGTGCCACGTCTAAGACAAACATCCAACTAACAGGGATTAAATTACTCCCGTACGAGTAACAGTGCCTTACGATATTCCTTGTTTCGGAGCTTGCACATGGTCACAAGTATTACGTGACATCCAAACTTCCGCCGATTGACTGGTTAATAAGTAAACAATGAATTTCCCAGGAATTATTTACTACATTTCAAGGAAATTAAAAATAACTCAAAATAACTCACAACCTACAAATTTCCGCCGGAAACGCTATGGTGCATAGAATTCTTATTTTTTCTGTAACTACCCATATAAAGAATCAATAAAGAATTCCATGCTAGGAAACTTCTAAATATCAACAGCTGCATTTACTGTAGTTTTACACACACACACACATATATATATATATATATATATATATATATATATATATATATATATATATATATATATATATATATATATATATATATATATATATATATATATATATATATATATTTATATATATATATATATATATATATATATATATATATATATATATATATATATATATATATATATATATATATATATATATATATATATATATATATATATATAAATATATATATATATATATATATATATATATAGGCTCACCACATTAAAAGGTGCCTGAAAAACACCATTATTAGTAAACGTTATTTATGTGACATTAAAATACATGTAAAAAGGGTTTATTGGTGCCGCCATCACAAGATTTCACCCATTTTGTCCCTTGAAGCCCTCCTAACACCTTTTGTTAGCTGAAATAAAAAATTGCTATTCAATCATCAAAATAAAGAGTTTGAGTAATATAACACTTAGCTGGAGTTTTGAGGTGCTTGTGTT